GAACGTAATCGGAAAACTGGATTTTTTTTGGACAGTAAGGGGTATACTATTTGAAATATGATATGATACAGTAAGGAGCAGTACAGACATATGCAGGATACAGTGGTATTACATAAGAGATAGAATAAGAAAAGTCTCTTAAATCATGCTCTACATGTATCAATATTTATCTGGGTAAATGAAGACCATGTCTATTGGTCCACTGGGACCAGGCTCCATGCCTTAATTTTGTTCTTATTTCTGTAATCCAAGGGGTTGGTCGATACCAGGACCAGTTGTATCCCCATGAGATTTACGAATTGGATCTTGTTAGATTTGTGTGCCTTAAGTGCTGAGCTAGTATAGGAAAATTCTGAGATAGGTAGTATATAACTGTGAAATATTTCGCTACAAAATTGATTTAACAGCTTCAGTAACAAGGGCTCCATTGTCATCAAATTTTCAGGTCATTGTAATCTTATCAGTAGATAAAAACAAAGTTCCTCAGATGTTGAGAAGTAACATTGCTGACAACCTTCTCATGATTCACTGGATTTGTAGTAACAGCTTTAACACAATTCTAATGAAATTTGATCAATCAAGCTTGTGATAATGGTTCCTTAATTATTGGGGAGAGGCTAACATTTTATGCTTTATGGGGAGAGTATAAAAAATCCTGCACCTTGAGAAGAGAACTTAAGCTTATGTCTTACATTGGAATTTTACCTTATTTAAAGGATCTAACCTTATAGATATATTATAATCGAAGTCTTAATTGTATAATGTGCCAATGAAATACGAAAACCTAGCCCCAGGCCAAAAATGGAAAAGAACTAAGCAACCATGTACAAGAGAGAACCAAACAGCTCTAGATCTGTACCTTATATGGAAGAGAACCAAACAGCTGTAGATTTGTACCTTATATGGAAAAGAACCAAACTGCTCTAGATCTGTACCTTATATGGAAGAGAACCAAACTGCTCTAGATTTGTACCTTATATGGAAGAGAACCAAACAGCACTGGATCTGTACCTTATATGGAAGAGAACCAAACTGCTCTAGATGTGTACCTTATATGGAAGAGAACCAAACAGCTGTAGATTTGTACCTTATATGGAAGAGAACCAAACAGCACTAGATCTGTACCTTATATGGAAGAGAACCAAACAGCTCTAGATCTGTACCTTATATGGAAGAGAACCAAACAGCTGTAGATTTGTACCTTATATGGAAGAGAACCAAACTGCTCTAGATCTGTACCTTATATGGAAGAGAACCAAACTGCTCTAGATGTGTACCTTATATGGAAGAGAACCAAACAGCTGTAGATTTGTACCTTATATGGAAGAGAACCAAACTGCTCTAGATGTGTACCTTATATGGAAGAGAACCAAACTGCTCTAGATGTGTACCTTATATGGAAGAGAACCAAACTGCTCTAGATGTGTACCTTATATGGAAGAGAACCAAACAGCTGTAGATTTGTACCTTATATGGAAGAGAACCAAACAGCTCTAGATCTGTACCTTATGGTGAAAATTTAACTCTCTAGATTATGCAACATGTAATTTAAAATTGGACAAGCAAATGCTTCGAGACTTTTATAACATATTATGTATACTTAAGGGATAAAGAAACACAGGATGACATTATTTGCAATATCTTGCAAATGCTTTGTTAAAAAACCATGAAAATCTGTCAAACAACTCTCAAGAATACAGTGCATGTGGCCCTGTATGGAATGTTTCAGTATTGTATTGGGTGATGATTTCTTCTGGGAAAAGCACGAAATGGGAAAATCTCGGGTTGCCAGACATTTGATGTCCATATTTGCACCTTACTGCCACTGAATCTGCCCTTCATACCATAGGTACTCATAACTGTCCTATCCATGCAAAAACTGTAAGGAAACGATTGCAGGAAGTTGGTCTGCAGGCTCATTATCTGTTTATAGGTCTGCCCCTTATCACTGCTCATTGCCAGCATCCTATGGCCTGGATGATGGCACATGTCCCAAGAATATTTCCTTCGAGGCAGTTGAGGTGGGTCTTGTTTACTGATGAGTCCTGGTTCACCCTGTTTCAAGCAGACGTTTGATGTTGTGTATACCGACATCATGGAGAACGTTTTGCTGACTACTGCGTAGTAGAGACGGACAGGTTTGGGGGTGGATCGGTTATGGTGTGGGGAGGAATCTCACATGGAAATATGTCACCACTGGTTGCGGTAGCGGGTAATTTAACTGCCGCTAGGTATAGAGATGAGATCCTCTGACCCCATATTGTCCCATTATTGCAGCGAAACAACCTCACATTCCAGCAGAATAATGCTCGGCCCCATGTAGCAAAGATCTGTCACAACTTTCTCACTAACAACAATATCCATCCACTGGACTGACCACCATACCGCCCTGACCTATCCCCTACTGTGCACTTGAAGGACCAGCTTGATAGACAGGTTCAACAATGCCAGTCTTCCCTGTTACTCTGGCCAAACTGAGTGCAGCCCTCTTGGAAAAATGGGCCAACATCTCAATGAGGAGGATAAACTCATTTATGAACTCCATGCCTAGGAGAATCAGGGATGTGGAGAGAATATTGACTAGCCAGCTCCCACAATCAGTCCATTTCGATTTCAGATTACAGAGTTCTCTCAATTCCCTTCAATTAATCTTAAATCATTTACCAGATACAGATCCTTGATTTTGCAATTAGTTCTGTATGGATTAGTCTTCATTCTCACGTAAAAGTATTGGACATTATACTCGACATCCTGCCTAGAATCATCTTCAAAGTTTACCCTACGTTTTTTCATCCCTTGAATATATGTTCAGCACTTATTGGTCCAAGCTCTAATGGTGAAGACTTTTTCCAATGCAATTTTGCATGAACCCTGAATAATGAAGGCTGTAATTTGGAGCGATGAAAAACTTTCTTACTTTCTCAAACTATTTCAAACAACTTCATCAACTTTTTTGGACAGGTTTTGACAAGTTAACAGACAATTTTTCCACCAATAAAGCAATCATAAATTGGTTTCATGAAACAGATTTGAAGTTAAACACTCAAACAACTTCATCATTTTTTTAAAAATCATGTGTCACTTCATTCTCTATTTTTGAGTGAAGAAAAAAAGTTTGATTTATCTGAATACAAGATATTAACCTTTTAACCTTAATTTCCCTTAATTAAAAGGTCCACAATATTGTGGTAATTCCTGCCAAAAATTTCACCATTGGGATAAAACATAAAAGATTTATATTTCTGTTGTTCAATAGCATGGACTTAGACTTGCTAAAGTCAGATATACACAAAGTAATCAAGAGGATAACAAGTAATCTTACCAAGGTAGCATTTCTGCTAATAATAACTTGCATTGAAATATTGTTCAACTTAAAAAAAACCAGCTGCCATTCATAAATACTAATGTCTGATAGTAAAATTTCTCATTTATGAAACTTAAATAATGCAGATCACATTTCAATGCATCTCTACAAAGCCAGCTTCGATATTGGTGTTGATTAACTCAATGTGACAAAAGCTAATATTTTCAACTTTTCAATGATTTGTAGCAGTGTGATGGTTACCTTTGATTTCTATGCTAATCTGTTTTTTACACAGATTGGACTTGCAATACAATTAAATATCTTATTTAGCATTACTCATGAGATTGGTATGATACTTCAAAGTCCAGTAATCGATTTCCCTGATTATCTTAATCCCATTTCAGACACAGAAAGCAGTATGGAAAACCAAAAATAAATTCTGGTGCAAATAGTTGAAGGTGAAACCATAAAATGGCTTCATTAAGAAGAACCTAAAATCCCATATATGGACAAGAATCTGAAAAGCCTCTTACAAGGGATAAAACCTAAAACAGCTTTAAGTCTTGTGAGAGTGTCTAATACCCTGTCTTGTATGGGAGCGTACCTAATACCCTGTCTTGTATGGGAGCGTACCTAATACCCTGTCTGGTATGGGAGCGTACCTAATACCCTGTCTTGTATGGGAGAGTGCCTAAAACCCAGTCTTGTATGGGAGAGTGCCTAAAACCCTGTCTTGTATGGGAGAGTGCCTAAAACCCTGTGTTGTATGGGAGAGTGCCTAAAACCCTGTCTTGTATGGGAGAATGCCTAAAACGCTGTCTTGTATGGGAGGGGCTATTAAACCTTGTCTTGTATGGGCGAGTGCCTAAAACCCTGTCTTGTATGGGAGCGTACCTAAAACCCTGTCTTGTATGGGAGGGGCTATTAAACCTTGTCTTGTATGGGAGAGTACCTAAAACCCTGTCTTGTATGGGAGCGTACCTAAAACCCTGTCTTGTATGGGAGTGTACCTAAAACCCTGTCTTGTATGGGAGAATGCCTAAAACCCTGTCTTGTATGGGAGGGTGCCTAAAACCCTGTCTTGTATGGGAGCGTACCTAAAACCCTGTCTTGTATGGGAGCGTACCTAAAACCCTGTCTGGTATGGGAGGGGCTATTAAACCTGGTCTTGTATGGGAGAGTGCCTAAAGCCCTGTCTTGTATGGGAGGGGCTATTAAACCTGGTCTTGTTAGGAGAGTACCTAAAACCCTGTCTTGTATGGGAGGGTGCCTTAAACCCTGTCTTGTATGGGAGCGTACCTAAAACCCTGTCTTGTATGGGAGGGGCTATTAAACCTGGTCTTGTATGGGAGAGTACCTAAAACCCTGTCTTGTATGGGAGGGGCTATTGAACCTGGTCTTGTATGGGAGAGTGCCTAAAACCCTGTCTTGTATGGGAGGGGCTATTAAACCTGGTCTTGTATGGGAGAGTGCCTAAAACCCTGTCTTGTATGGGAGGGGGCCATTAAACCTTGTATTGTATGTGAGGAAGCCTTAGATCATGTCTTGTAAGGAAGGGAACCTAAAACCTGGTCTTGTATGAGAGAGAGGTATGTGTAAACACATTTTTTTGTGTTTTTCCAGTAGTTATTGACAACAATTATATATATAATGTAAGTTTAGTTAATTAAATTTTGCTTTCTTTCTGTCATTGCAGTTTAAAGACATAGCAAAGGCCCACACAGTACTAACAGACACAACCAAGCGTGGAATCTATGACCGGTATGGATCAATGGGTATATACCTGGCTGACCAAATAGGCGAGGAGAATGTCAACATGTATCTCACCCTCACTAGTGGCTGGTGTAAGGTAGGGATTGAGGTCAAGGTCATATACTATAAAGAATGTTTCAAGTCAAGGTCATACATATACTGTAAAAATTGGGGTCAAGTTCAAAATATTGTAAAGGTAATTTTTATTCAATTATTCAAATGCTGTAACAAAAGCTTTAGGCAAAAATGGTTATTTTTCCCACAGAGGTATTAATTGTTCAAAAGACACATAGGTGAAGACAATAAAATCACATTTTTTGTGGGGCTTAAATTTAGTGGTTTACAGAAATGTACATTTTTGTCAGCATTGATTTTGTGAATTAATCTTGCCCATGAAATCCACGAGTATCATATTCCTTGTCAGTTTGATCTATTTATTATTTTGTCTATATATAAAGTTAAGGAGTAAAAATATAATCACCAATGATTTTGCATCATATTGCTGTTGTGTCCTCAGAGAGGCTGAGGGCCTAAATTTTTATACCTAGAAGGTACCTACTGTGGAATATACCAACCTTTCAATTGTTATCACACATCCAATAAATATGATATACAAATCTTTGGAATCAAACATGGCTGCTGTTAACTAAGGTTGTAGGTCAAGTTATAAACTGTGATGATGGTGCTTAATAATCTATTTAATGAAAAACATTGTCTAATTCTATACAATGTATATAGGGTCAAAGGTCACTGTGGAAAGCTACATAGGTATTATAAGTTTTATAAGATGCAAATTAATACTACACACATTTCGTGGTCAAACAAGAGATGGAGATGTTTGGTAGTAAAACATGCTGTAACCCTGGACAGTGTCCAGCATATTTCATTAATGAAATTACTGAATTTGTTAGTTCAGGGCACTAGATGTGTTCTGTGAGCTGAATTCTGTACTTTGTTGTTACAGGCATTGTTTATGACCTATGAGCTGTACACAGTTGTTTTCACAGACCTGAATTTTGTTGTCTCAGCCATTGTTTATGACCTATGAGCTGTACACAGTTGTTTTCACAGACCTGAATTTTGTTGTCTCAGCCATTGTTTATGACCTATGAGCTGTACACAGTTGTTTTCACAGACCTGAATTTTGTACTTTGTTGTTACAGGCATTGTTTATGACCTATGAGCTGTACACAGTTGTTTCCACAGACCTGAATTTTGTACTTTGTTGTTACAGGCATTGTTTGTGTCCTATGAGCTTAACACAGTTGTTTTCACAGACCTGAATTTTGTTGTCTCAGCCATTGTTTATGACCTATGAGCTGTACACAGTTGTTTCCACAGACCTGAATTTTGTACTTTGTTGTTACAGGCATTGTTTGTGTCCTATGAGCTGTACACAGTTGTTTTCACAGACCTGAATTTTGTTGTCTCAGGCATTGTTTGTGTCCTACGAGCTGTACACAGTTGTTTTCACAGCCCTGAATTTTGTACTTTGTTGTTACAGGCATTGTGTATGTCCTATGAGCTGTACACAGTTGTTTTCACAGACCTAATTTTTGTACTTTGTTGTTTCAGGCGTTGTTTGTGTTCTGCGGTCTGATCACAGGCTGCTACTGCTGCTGTTGTTGCTGCTGTTGCTGTAACTTCTGTTGTGGAAAGTACAAGCCACGAGCTCCAGATGAGGAGGGAGAGTATGCTAACCTACATGTAAATAAAGTAAACAACTTACTACCGTTATGAGCTGGTCCTATACAGCACGCTTCCAGTCTGTCTGTAACCAGCTTCTTCGCACTGGCTCGGGCTAACAGTACCACTTTATCTCAAGAGGCAACACTACATTGTTAACCTGGACTTCTCCTTTATCTTTGCAAAATTGAAAATGTTGATTTTTATGCCCCTGCCATTTTATGTGATGCGATGGTAGAGGGAAGGATGTGTGGGTGGCGTAAAGGGGAGTGGTTTATTAAGTGTGTCCCATGTTCGCTTCCTACAGCGACCTGTTCCGAATCACTGTTATTCTTTGAGAACCTCTGAACAGATTCTGTTCATATTATCTGGTAGTATAAGATCAAGTTCTACCACCTTATATTGAAATGCTTATCTTCAAGGTTAAAGGTCAAATGTCACATTTGACACCTTTTTCAAATTTTAATTGGGGACACTCATTTCGAACTGTCAACAGGAGTTGAAATCTAGTCTTATTATTGGTTAAGGTGAAGAAATCTCCTGTTACTTATATGGTAGTAAGTAAAAAAAAACTTCTCAAAAGTGTTCATCACTTTACTATAATGGCAACTATTTGGTTTGGCATTTGTAAGCAATCTCTGATTGTAGTGTTAAAAACTTGAAAATTAAGTCATTTCCAGGTGGGAGGCAAAGTATGTACCTTATACAGCATTGAGATCCTCCTGAATTCATGGAGCACGGTGTGAGGTATTTTTAAGTAGGAGTACTAGCAGAGGTAGAAAACTTCTTATTGATGAAGACTGAAAAGAAGAAATAAGGAGTCCAGATTAACAAGGTTGTGCTGTACAGTTATGGGGTACTAACTCTTGGATGCCAGGTCTACAGGTTCAGAGCAACACCATCAACAACATGACTATTCTATTTTATTATTGATATTTTTTTTTAATTTGCATATTATGACCGATGCAAATTGAAAATAATAAGCTTTGCATTTTTAAACATCTCAGGAGTTAAGAATTGTGCATGTTCTCATTTAGATGTGTCTTATTATTGTCAAAGTGTGGATGGTCCTGAAGTAGCTCTACATTTAATCATTTGGGAAGGGTTTGGGGTGTAGGGGATGAGAATATATTGTAGTCAAAGCTTTCAATTGATTACTTATATAAACGACTTTAGGAAACAAAACATGATGGCGTTGACTCTATACCCTCATACTTGATGTCTTCAACTTCATTCATTACCTAAAAGTTTAAAATTTTCTGGAAGATTAGTGCAAATGTAGTGATCTAATTATCTGTACAAGGTGTTATTAACAATACTTGGCTTTTAACTTCTGAACTGTATAATCAAAGGCTTCGTTAAAGGGATATTCTGCACAAGATAGGAATTTTTAAAAAATTAACAAAAAGCTCTAATTATAGTCTGTACATCTTAATTCACTAGATGAAAAAACAAACATGCAATATTTTAAATTTATGGAAATTCTATATATATCTAGCTCGATCGATTTACAGACATTAGCTTGACCATGATTGAGCCACAACATGTTTGTTTTTTATAAGATCACCTTCTGAAAAGGTCATGGTGACCTATTGTGATCTTTCTTCATTCATTGTCATGCATCATCTGTTTAGTTTTTTCTTGTGTCCAATTCATTTGTAATTTACAGAGTTATGGCCCTTTGCTTTTTTTATTTCCAATGGAAACACAAAAACTTGATTAAATATGAACAGATTTTAATGAAACTTAAGCAAGCAGTGTTACATCAATGAAATCACAGATTAGTTTGACAATATAACTGATTCGATGGTAATTCACAGATTTCAGCACTTTCATAACCATTGATATTGTGAACGCGATAACTTGAGTAAATGTGAACAGATTCTAATGAATCTTTGGTATGCTGCTTTATTTCGATAAGATCTTAGGTGCATGAGAAAATGGGACCAATTCAGTTGTGACTTATTCTGCTGTTTTGCATTTTTTTTAACCATAGGACTATGTGAACATGATGATTTGAGTCAATTTGAACACATTTGAATGAAGTTTGGTATGCAGCCCTGTATTGATAAGATCTCTCATGAGTTTGACAATATGTTCTTTTCAGATTAATGAGGTGACCGTTTAGGCCTTTGACCTTTTAGTTAGCTGAACAGTACTAAGTATTTGTGTATATTATAAGATATTTCGATGCTGGACCGTTTAGGCCTTTGACCTTTTAGTTAGCTGAACAGTACTAAGTATTTGTGTATATTATAAGATATTTCGATGCTGACAATAGCTATTAGAAAGAGTCCAAGAAAACAGCATGAAAATTGACATTTGTGCAGAACATCCCTTTAACAAAATTGTAGTAAGATACTCATAGTCTGACTAATTCCATCATTAGTCCACATTTCCACTTTATTTAAGGCTGTATGAGCTCCCTTAGTTTTCATTATACTGCTTACTCCAGTGTGATTGTACACTAGAGCCTCTCTATATACTGTAATCAGTCCTCTATATTCAACCCGCTAGTCTTATAACAGAGGAATCAACAGTAGATTAATATATTGCTATCCAATATATCTGCTAGTAATCGTAACACCTCCTTATCTTTGTTATATGTGATATAAGTACTGTTTGTTATCTGTGAAATGTCTGTGTTTGGTAAGTTGCTTCTTTAAACAAGTTCCCCAGTAGCATTATTGGAGATGACTTATGGTATGTGACCTGCTCACTCCAACTATTATCACCTGATGTTCTTTGAACATTGTTATGCATGATATATTTCAAGTTTGAAATGATATTCAAGATAACCATCAACAGCCAGGTAGAATTTTGAGAATTTGTTATTGCTATTTCTTGAAGAACTATTAAAGGAATCATTTTAGAACTTAATTTACTATTGAAATACTGCGAACAAGAAAAAGGAAAAAACCAAACTAATTGGATGGTAGATAGATACCAGTATCTCTCTACAATCTTCTGCAGTTAATAGAAGTTATTTTATTGATATCTTAAAAACACAAAGTTTCATGTTTTACACCTGTATTTTCTGCTTTAAACATCTTTCTGCACAACAATACATTTTGGCTTTAATTGCAGGGAAGTTTCTTTCTTACATTTTTTTCTTTATTAATATGAGAGCAGAAAGTGGATTTATTGTAACTCCAGCCTTATATGTGGCTTAAGTTTTCCATCAGAATATTTTCATTGCCTTGCTATGTCTCCTGAGACACGCATGTGTCTATGGTAAACGTCACAGGAAAGGGAGATAGCTACTGAAATCATACATGTGAGGAAGTTACAGAAGTCCTCCCTCTTGCAGGGCTGACTGTACTTAAACAAGGATGACACATTCTCTAAAATGATTTTTGGTCTGCTTTACAGCTGAAAATAAGGTATCTCCTTCCTAATATGTGTATTATTTTCTCAAATATAAATAAAAAGTATTCTCCCCATTATACAGACACAAACTGATGTAGTCTTCAGGTAGAAATAACACAGTCATTCTCAATGTAAGCCTGTGTGAATCAATAAGACAAAATTCTGTTAGCTTAAATATTGAGTCTTGTTGTGTCTTTAAATCTTTGGACAGGCCAGGGATTGTTGTCATGTTATGTGGTGTATAATATTCTACAATGAGAAATTTTGACCGCAGATTTACAGTTTAACATGTTCTTTTTAACTCTACTAATCTTCTAAAACTTTGGACTACAGCAAGATGTAGGCATGGCAGTCCAGTAACACAACCATCATAGATATGTGGTGCCGTTTGTAATCTTAACTAACGCCATGTAAACTTAAGTTTTAACTCAGAACCATTCGGTCCAAGATGGTTATGAGCCAATTTTCTTACCCCATGCAAATGTTATAGAATGAATATATTTGTCAACTTTATGTCAATTCTATTGACAGAAATTAGGAACATTCGAAACTTTAAAAATCTTAAATTTTATTTGTAGAACTGTTTTTTCACGAGCTAGGAGAGATGAAGTTAATTTGTGTTTAAAATTTAGACCAAAATCTGGATTATTTACACTAAGTGTATCTGTTGGCAAATATGAATCTGTTAAGAAGAACTTTTTTTCTGTTTTTTATGAAATTATGAAACTAGTTACTTGGGAATTAAGTGTTGATAATACAAATTGAAATAAATAAAAGTATACTATCTACTTGTCTGTAAAGTTTATCTGTGGTCGATTGGATTGTAAATAAACGAGATAATACTTTATTACCTATATTGATAATTAACTTTTAAGTGTGATTACCGTTCACCATGATCTGTTTAATAGTAAATAAGTAATATACATATTGTCACCTGTAATTTACCTGTCTAACCTATAATGACAAACTCTTTACCCAATATCTGCTTTACAGGATGAGTTCAGCAGTCCCGAGGACCAGTCCCCTGTGACAGCCCAACCTCAGAGTGGATCAGCCACCATAGTGATGGGTCCACCACCGTCGTCAGATGCAAACGAGACCACAAGCCTCAATGCTGAGTCGAAGCCAACATATGGAGTGGATGGAAAGGAGATTGAACCGACCAATCAAAGTGAACCGCACTCGCGACAGAGGCCTCCACTGTTTGACGATGACATGGCTCATAGCTAGTTAATGTTTTATCTAGGTCATTGTTACTGTTATATTGCGAGATGTGGAAGTATGGGCGCTGTGCGTCTCAACAGAGTGACTGTTATACATGTCCAATATTAAGATAATATAAGTAATACAGTATAGAACAGTACCAGTCATATTGTGCTAAATAAAAGGTTTACGGTGATAACGACATAATCTATATTTAACACTGTATTCAAAACTGGTTGCTTCCAAAATTGGTCGATAAGAAGTCATATGACTTGTACTGTAAAGCCATTCTGGGAAGTTTTCTTGGGAGTTATGATACTGAGATGGGTCTTGAGTCTGAAGGACATCACTTTATGAAGTGATAAAATTAATTTTGAATGGAGAAACTTTCTGTATTTGGAAAAGAATATATGATATAGAAATAACTTTAAAAGTAAATATGATCTGTGTTTCAAATGGATTGACAACCATAGTAATTTTTTTATTACAGGTTCTCCATCATGTATGTTATAGACCTCTAAGTCAGCATTTGTTACACACTATAAAATCTTGGTCCATCTGATTTTTCATGTTTGAGGTAATATTTGCCTACTAAAATAAAGGTTGATGGATTTAAATTTCACACATTTATTTGAAGTTGCTATTTCTGAATGTTAGGGTTTACTGATGTAGTAAATTGAAATACATGATATGCTTAATCCTTCCATAATGAATATTTTATAGTATTTGTTAATGTAATTCAAAATGCATGACAAACTATACACAGAATCAAATTTATATATATCATCCTAACTTGTTACCAGATCCTATTTTCTTTGTACCTTTGTTTACGAGATATGTAATACTCAATATGGAATGGAATGAGTTTATATTAAATGAAACATGAAATACATTATGTTGGAGACCCTAAACCTTAGTATTTAAAACACCTTTATAGAACAAACCTTAAATGTAAGCTCAGTCATAACCCAGTTATTTCCCTTGATGTTTTCAGGTACGTTTTTTAAAGATAATTCTTTTATAGAAAATTAGAAAAGACTTTTCAGATCCAGATTTTCTTTCAAAGATCAAGTACTATAAAAGAGTTCCATTTCAAAACTGATGGTTTCAAATCAAGAATAACTCAATCAGAAATTAAGCACAGTACATGTACAATAAATGTTTGAAGGGTTTGTATTCTAAAATCCATAGTTAACCCCCAACACAGCAGTTTGCAATTAAAGAAATATATCTTGAGGACTATATAAAATTGTAAGTGATAGTAAAAAATAAAAGCAGAATTTTTTGGTAGGTTTTTGTGGCATGTGGATGTATTATGGTATTCGGTAGTTTGGGGACAGTGTTAATTTTGGACACTCAACTAAGTGGTTCTATACTACTTATCAACAGATTATATATATGGCTGCTTTCTACGAGGCTGTCTACTTATATGTTATATCGAATTCCAGCTAAAATGAGATCATATACAAATATATTGAATGCATCTAACCTTGAAGTAATTTTAGGATGGGGAGGGGGTTGATGTTGAATGTAATTTTTATTTTGCAAGGACAAAAAATGGAATATAAATGTCTGTAAAATGTCTCACATTGCAGATAATTGGTAGAATGTTTTGTTTTATTGATTTTGTAAAGAAATTGCACAGAAAGTTGAAATGGTCACAAACATTGTTAGAATTAAGACTATATACACAGTTTAATTTTACAATAACAGGGGCTGGCTTTAACTATATTATGTAGTTATTTGGAGAGAGATAACCATCTCCTCAGAAGGTCCCTCATTGTTAGCTGTTTCCATTTTATCACCATTCCTATGTTTTGTTTATATTTTATATGCTTTCATGTGAATAGGTAAGAGAGAGTAGCTTCATTGGAGCTCCTGTGTTCTAACATCCTGGAAAATTACAAAGTGTTTAAAAAATAGATCTCGCTGTCAAGGCTTGCTCACTGAAAGCAACCATGTATCTTAAGTCTTTTCCCCTGATATGATTTGTTCATGAGACTTTTTTTGTCCTGTGCTGGGTTTATGGCCCCATGTACAGCCAGGCTGAGTTGGTGCAGTGGTCTGATATTGTCAAACCAGAAAATGAAAATTACAGTCGCTCAAGTTAATTAAGGGTGATTAATTTTGAAGACAATTTGTAGTTTAGAGGTTCTGCTCCGGTAGTGAATTTATTTGACTTTACCAGAAACCTTGGGAGTGTGTGTAGAATGATTGGTTTGTTTGCTGGGTCTGTTATACCAGGAACAGCCAGGTGTGAAGTGATTATATTTGATGCGCTGGTTTCAGAACAAACCTGGTTTATTATAATATTATAGCCTTTTCTATTCTTTGTATTCCTTTTGAGTACATTTAAACATGTACAAATCTTGATGTTTGTCAGTTGTTGAAGTATATGTGACCAAATTCATTTGTTTCCATTTCTAACTGTATACAATGAAGGAATGGCGTCTTTAATGAATTTCTTTTTTTTTGTCTTTTAAGGTGAATTAGAGTATAAATACCTGACCTACTTTGCATATCAGTTTTTTTTCTTAAAACATCTCTTATATTGTAAATATCATAGTAAATGGACCATGTATGTTTAAAACCCAAGACATGTTGGATAGTACTGCTAGGTATCAAGTTTTCATACTAAGTATAATTCTCCAGAAAGAATTCATTAATTGTATTGATCAAAGTCATATTGCATGATTTAAACATTTTCCCCCTTGAAAATTCAAGAGTGTCTGTTTATATGTGACCTTTTTCTTTTGTCATATTAAGTTCAAAACAGCTGCATGAATTTAAAATTTTTGACAATGTTTTCGTGTGTTGAGTGTGAGATATATTAATTTGTTCTTAATTATACCGGTAATGTAATTGACTTACAATCATTTTGTCTCAGCTCTGATTCTTCTTGATTTTTCATGAATCAGTTTCTGTAAAACATCCACTCATGAGTAGATCCGATAACGAGCCTTTGTCTGTGTTTTCGGTTTAGTCGTATGTCACTTGTGTTACGAGAGTATTAGATTTGTACATTTGTAGAGGTACAAACCTGCTGTTGTATGTACGTGTTGCCAAATTTCCAGGTTGATAAGTAAATATTTGCTAAATCATAAATTCAAAGAACATTTTACTTTGTTGGATTTTTGGCAGCGGTCTGTGATCATTTGATTTTTCCAATCACAAAGATATTAAATAGTAGGCTGTGATTTGTTTCAGTACCCAAACACTTGCAACATTGTTTTAATATACATGTACTGCTATTAGTCTATCCAGGTGAATTCTTTTAAAAGTAAGAAAGTCTCTATAGTAAATCTACCATACAGTCAAACCTGTCTTCAGGGCCACCTGTTTACCAAGACCACCTGTCTGTAAAGCCTATTCCTTTGGTTGCCTATGTAATGCCATTCATACTAATTGAACCTCTATATAAAGGCCACTTGTGTATAATGGCCAAATTTTTCCCTTTGAGTGGCCTTTATAGACAGGTTTGACTACTGTGGCATTACATTTGTATGGCCTTATTTTGAACTGTATCACATGATTTACATGTGTGTGGCATCTTAATTCCCTTGTTGCTGTGATGATATTTAAGCTTTCATAAAAACAACCAATTTGCTAGAATTATTAATACATGTACAAGGAAATTAAGACTGTCATAGTTACTAATGATGGTGATAGAGTGTGTTAATTGATATTCCCAAAGTGTATTTCAATATTTCTTGTATAATAGTTGTATTAAATATTTCTTCAATATACTCAAATTTTTGCTAGATTATCATAGCTGTGGTTAACCATACCTTTATGCTGTATGACACATGTATCTCTTAGGTATTATCAATTATCTTTAGCCAGAACACTAAAACATCTGTCACATTAAATTATCCTTACACAAATTAACATTGGTTCTGTGATGCTTTTTTTTCCAATGTAGAATTTAGTCTTAACTCCCTAATTTGTATAAATCGTATCCTTGACTCTTTTTGAGAATCACCTGTTCATGACATGGGATAGATCTGTTCCTGGAAGATTTGGCTAGAAATGCAAGGAATTATAACATCTGTGCAAATACAGTAATCAATCTAGAATTTATTTTGATGAGCCTATTTCAACTTTATTGCTGAAGATAATGGGTCTCACAATGTGAAATTTTCTGCAAGTATTTCAGAAATAATTTGAGTCCACTAAAATTTTATGACTACAAGACTGAGAAATTTACTGCAAGTACTTTTAGAAATAATTGAGTCCACTAAAATTTTATGACTACAAGATTACTGCAAGTACTTTCAGAAATAATTGAGTCCACTAAAATTTTATGAGTACAAGACTCAGAGCTCAAATATGGATTAATCACGGAGAGTACCATATGTATCCACAAGTAAGCCCCCTTCCTTAGTATCAAAGTTTAGTAATAACGAGAGGGCTTATTATTCAATAACAAACTACTTTTAGCTTACCATTTTGAAATAGATCATTCTGCAAAATGGAAGAGGGGGCTTATTTGCAGATTCATACAATAGTTTGTGTTAAAGCATGGGAAAATAGGATCCAATGTTTTGAGTGCAAGAACAAATATTTATGATTGAAAAATAGATCAGTTTGTGTCCTCACTATGAAGATGCTGGTGTGCTGAAAGGCCTGATGGTCATAATAGCAGGCGTAAAACCATTTTAATAAATTGATATTTATGATGGTTGTTTTGATTGAAATATTACATAAATTTTACATGATTAAATCCATCTTTCAACATATGATCATTAATTGAAAATTATGATAATGACAGTAATTTCAACAAACATACATGTATTAGATAATAACTTGATACATTTACCTAAGTAGTGTCACAGACTTGGGTTATAAGATCCAAATCTGTGTTACTACCTGGGTATCAATTAATGTTTGATCTGGAGATTTAGTGTAGAAGACTGTAAAAGTAGATAAAAAAATCTGTTCTTCCAGTAACAATGTTAACCAGTAATCTAGGGTTTAAACACATGAACACATTGATTTCATTAAAGATATTTCTTCCACTAAAAAGTAAAGAGTTGATTTAATACAAGGGGAGTCCAAAATTGAAATTAAATATATAAATTATATTTTATCAGTCAAACTAGCCTTACTTTAAAATAATTTCTATTTAATTGGCATTGTTTTTAGTTCAAAACCAAGTTCTGTGCATGAAACTGATTACCAAACAATTAGCACAAAGTTCTCTTCTCAAGCAGATGTTGTCCTTCCAGATTTTGTGTAGTGTGGAAGTTACGATAATATTATAATGACAAGAATGCCCTGTTCTACAGTGACACCATTGTCAAATTATCTAAGTTTTCACTGTGTAGTTCTATATACTTACTATATACATGATGGTTCATTGTTTACCTTATAATAAATTGCAATCATCCTATTTACATTGTTGTTTTAATTATCTACTGACAAATGATCTACAGAAAATCCAGGGGACCAAAGCACATTACCTCTGACACAAGGTCAGGTGTTGTTTGTAATTTTACTGAAGATCTGAAATCACAGGTGGGATTATGTCCAGTCAGGACTTATCTAAATAGATAAACAGAGTTAAAAATTCCAGAAATCCAGAGCATTAAACAACATAATGAAAACCACCATTGATGATTTAAATAGTGGATTGGTAATGTAGGCTTTAGGATTTGTATCCTTGACCCTTTTTGAGAGTCACCTGTTCATGACACAAGATATTTCTGTTCCTAGAAGATGCAGCACAATAGAAAGTGACCATGGATTTTTGGTCATTTGTTGGGTTAGAACTGTGGAGTCCTGACCTTCCATCAGAGTCAAATCTGATATTTTATTGGTTAAACTTGGATTACAAGTTATTGCTGTAAAACATTTATAATGGTTGGTGTGTTTCCTGTGTAACAGAATATCAGATACATTGGGAGTATTTCAGTAGAATGTTGGACTTGTAAAAATTCAAATCCCATGTTTTATCCTGTACCGTCAGTACTTCAACAGTGAATAGTCAAAAAGTCCAGTTAAATAAAAAAAGAACAGCAAAACTATCAGAAACGATAAAGTATTTTATTGTATTGATCGACAATTATAATGTGTTATACAAAATGATGACAGATCCAGCTATTGGGGGGAAAATTGTGTCCATTTTACAGTCAAATGTCGCATAGTATTTAGAATCTTACAGATGGATACAGCTTTACATATGTTAATGCATGGCAATTAATATCATCAGAGGGATTCGAGAATCAGCCCAGACAGCCACTCCCAGAAATCTATATTGATAATTGAAAAGTAAACTAAATATGTGCATCACTGCCTACCAATGCTGCTTGAAACAATGCACATTTATAACACTTTTTGTAGGTACACAATATAAGAATATGTTTTCCAGACTTTATGCTTCCATAAAGACTTTAACGATTCACAGTGACAGTAGTCATGCATAATTCCCTAAACCTGTGTTAAAAATACTGCGACTTCCATAATTATTTCTTATAACAACTAACTTGTGAAAACTGGGTAATCAAAAATATTTCTACTCAATTATCTTGCATAATTATTAAATAGTTATAATCTGGAGAAATATCATGAGACACATTCTCCATAACAAAGACTTTATTTAACATACAATAAAAAAATTCCTGCTTGTAAATAGGTTGTCTTTTAAAGAATTTGCCTTACAAATGAGGTTAGTATCCTAAATGAGATCTTATGTGGTCTAACAAGAGACCTTTTAGTTTCTTATGTAAAATTCATTATTAAACCAAGATGATAAGAGACATGAACATCTTCCTTAATCATCAATTACCAAGATTTACAAGAGTGTGTTATATTTTAGCATTAGAAAAATCATTTCAAGTGTAGCATACATGTACTGCACTAAAAAATAGAATTCAGGAAAAAAGATTTGGTACTGTTAATTAATATTGTTGGGCACCTTCAAAATTGACAGGCTGTGCTTTTGATAGCACCTATTTCCTTCATCCTGGGAAGATGACATAGTCCAAGGCTCTCTTCGTCACAATAGAACCCAGCCCTTAATATGGTTGAATCAATTTTTAATCACCACATGAAAGATCTCAACTACTCTTTCTCAATCAAATCAGAGGTCTTGCTGAAAGCCTTTGTTTTTGCTGTGATATGTTTTAAGGGTACAGAAAATACATGTTTATAAGGCATGAAATCCTTTGGGTTTCTTTGTTGAGCAATGGGTTGTAATTCTAACCACCAAAAAAAAACGTCAAAACTCCAGATTTTAGAAAGTGCACTTTCCTATCTTTTAAATCCCAAAAACCTGGAAGTGGTGACCATGAGTAATGCTTATTTATGGTTATAACCAAAGGCTTAGCTATAGGCAGCAAATCTAAATCTCTTCACAGAAAACGTTTAATTTGTAGCACATCTCAAAAAAACACTTTTATCTCTTCCTTTCAATTTCTGTTTTTTTATTTGAAGTCAGACTTCAATTTAATGATGTTATTTTCTTTTATCATCCCAGGTAATACTTTCCAAAATAACAACCTGTAATGTACTATCTATAGATTTTAAAATCTAAAACGGACACAATTTGTATACATTAATAGTAATACACTGACACTCCAAATATAGCATATAATCTTGATTAATTTACCAACTTCAGACTGACAATTCCCTCGATTAAAGCAAACAATAATTATTCTTATTGATGTAAAATCCAGCATATACACTATTTCAATAATATAAACATACCATTTAATAGAATACAATGCATATACATTTCATTTTTTTTCAATAATAAATTTAATTACATTTGAAACTGCAAAAAGGTGTCGACCAGAAGTTTAGGCAATGTATCATAATTAAAACTTGATGTACGTGTATCACATAATTTATCCTCCGATAAAACCATACTGACATGCAATACATTTTAATGTGGACTTGAGACTGTACTTATCTGTTACTATTAGAACATGTGTAAAAATCTATACAGGTGGTACCTGTTTTAACAATAAAGATGAACTTCATGGTATGTTTGCTTTAATAATCGCAGAGGCATTTCCATAATATCCAACAAAAAGACAGTTTTCCATTTTTTTCACTCTACAAATTGAATGTTCATCTTTTAATTTACAAATATTTTATACTTTCCTCCATTTCTGTGCTTTTCTGTGTTTGTGTTGCTTGACCATGACTTTTGTGTTTTAGTTTCTGGAGGAATATCGGTATGCTTCCAATGGAATCACGTTTAAGCAGGAATAGTCACTGGACTTTTTAACAGGTGTTTTTATCACTGCTTCATCCTATCATGATTTTATCACACTTAAGAATTTAGTAACCACATGTTTTATCAAAATTCTACACATCACATAGATTTCATTTGTCTGTAAAGAGCTGAAGATAAGCATCTGATATCAAAATTAGACTGAAAACATCAAATCGTTTTGAGGAGAACAAATAAACTGAGAAATGACTGAACAGAAAGATACTAAAATAAAAAAGCAAATAAAACAATAAATATTCTACAGATCTACACATGACAAATACTGTAAAAAAGAGCAGGAAAGTTGAGTATCATTTTCAGAAAGTAATATTTTCCCATTTATTCCCGTGTACTGCCTACAGTTGCTCTCAACATTGAAGTTGAATGCTTATAGGTCCGATATATCTTTAAACATAAGGTACCTGTCAGCTACCACTGTTACATTTGTCCTATTTGTTCTCATCGTGTAGAGAATCCACATTTTGGTTTGAACCTTCTTTTATAAAAAAAAAATAAGGACATTATCGAAAGTTGAAGATTCAAGAACAAAATGGCGAAATTATCAAATTTAAATACAATATTTGATTATCATTGAATTTCACATAGAATTCAGAACATGTCAATATAATCTAACATGAACAATCCATGCACTTTTTATTTACCTGTGAAGGTTAAATATATATATATATACATTCTCAGGGCTTGCATACCTATATATATATATATACAACTTGAACATGTATTGGTTTCAGGATTCTTACTACAATTTCTGTTTACATATGTAACCCTGTTATAATACTAGCCGAAATATATCACTCGGCTAGAGAGAATGTCGCTTTAGCTCAATCAGTTGAGCATCAGACTAGTAAGCCAGAGGTCCTGGGTTCAAATCTTAGCAGAGGCATTGAAATAAATAATGACCTGTTACACATACTTTCCTAATTACTATACAGTGTTGAAAATAACAATGGAACTTTACATGTAACAATTCATACAAGGCTTTTGTTAAACATAGAGCACCACATCTTTGGTATAAAAATTGTGACACATTGTTTTAAGTTAAGTTTGTTTCCAGTACAAGATCTTAAAAAATCCTCTAAACTGGACTCAATTAACATTAGTGAAATTAAAGATAATTAAATTATGTTTTATTTGTCTGTAATGGGAATATTTGTTAATACAAGGTTAATATTCTGTATGACTCATTTATACTTTATATAAATATAACATTTCATTCTAACCTGTGTATACAAATCTGATTACAGATCTGAATGTTTTAGTTGGAATTAAACTTTATGAGACAGATCATTAAAAAAATAAAATCATTATAAACTGTTAGAGAAAATAAAAATAACAATATACTACACAATATATACACAATTTCAGTCTGATTTTATCATGTGGTGTTATCTTTTTATGGTCAAATGACAATTTGAGTTGTTAAGGGCTAAAGAGTTTAAATACTGCATTCCACCTGATCAGCATAACTGCTCATGTGAATGCTTAATTAAATCCTGTAAATATTTCCTAATCTTAATGTGAAGAAGTTAAATTTAAATTCTACTTCTAGTGTTTTGCATCAAAACCACTAAGTATTACAACCATTTTTTTTCAAATATAAATTGTTTTCTGTTTCCAAAGTTTCTATCTCAACACCTTTCGTGTAAAAACTTATCCTTGTATCTAAGTTTATATTAAGTACATTCCTCTCATGTCTTGAGAGTAAGTGTTAATACAAAGTGTGTATATATATATATATATATATCGTCTGGGAAATGCCAGTAAAACATCTATCTGACATCCCAGATTTTAGTCAGAAATAGCATCTATAAAATTTCCTAAATCATACGAGCGAAAATTTTTGTTAAGAATACAAGTGTTTTATTTTATAGAACTGTGCTCAGGTAGATTTTTTACTGAAATAACCCTAACAAGCCTAGTTCTGAAGATATTTTTCTGCATTTTCTACATGTCTTTAAACATACAGTAAAAAATAATAATACTAGGTAGAGATCCAAACAAAAGACCTATACACTAACCTGTTGAGAATCTGGTGTAGTCTAGTATGTGTAAAGGAATTTTTAAAAATTACTTGGACAAGAAATAAGTTTTTTGTGATGATAAATATTTGTAACACAATTTAGATGTACATACATAAGTATGAAATGATGGACAAAGCAATTTATTTACAAAAGGATTAGATTCAGTCCACGGAAGAATTCACATATTCTAATGGCAAGTAATATTTCTCATAACAAACAAACAAATAAACAAACTATGTCTGTGCTCTACCGCCTATTTAACATTTTACGAAGCAAGTAACTTTGTTTCTAAGTTATAAATAAAATTGACATGGTTGACTAGATCCTTTCATGATTCTTTCGATTATTGCCCTTTGTTGTACCACCTTGAAAATCTAACCCCTCCCACTAAAATATCGAGAATATCTGTTAAATCCAAATCCTATTTTCGGGAAAGCTCTCCATCCTCAGATGGGTTCAGTTAATTCAGATTTGTTTCATCTGTGTTTACAAACATATTACATAAAATGAATTTTTCTGTTTGTACCAATATATCACATCAAGTGAGAGTCATTACTTGTATAAGAAATTCAAATTGGACAGAATCTGAGAATATCAAATGATATACACATAACATATAAAGTCCTATAACACTGCATTGGCACATGTTATACATCAAAGAAAAAAATAATGAAATGTACAAATAAGGTGCTGCACAATAAAAGCACTTCAGTACTCTGAAATTTTGTAGATCACCTGACCAATGTAGAGATTGTTATTATAAAAGGCTCCAATTAGCACTACTTTTGAGGAAGGCATAAATCCTCTGATACAACATTAAGAAAGTAAACAACTGTTAATTTCATTATTTCTGCAAAATTACATCCCTTCTGCATTAGGGTGTTGATAAAATTACAAAAATTTAAATCGTCGAAGAAAATGTCTACAGTAATTCACATTAGTCTGAGATACAAAATGTCACCAAAATTCACAGAGATTTAATTATCTTGGACCAGCAAGAACAGTTGTTAACAAATGAGTAACATAATTCTATAACAATATTAACCAAATAAGGGAATGACAGCCAACATGTGGATGCTTACATAAAAAAAGGGTTAGAAGGAGCAAGATAACATATGACAATAAGCAATGTTTTAACTCAAATAAATTGGACTTACAAAAATAATTACTAAAAAATAACAAAAAGCCCGAAAATTCAAGACATTTTTACAATGAGAGAATGTGATAAATGAACATGAAGTATAAACACAACAGTGAGCAGAAAAACTGTCTGGAAATGTTTTTTTTTTAATTTACTGACCTTCTGATGATATCTAAATTTCTCCATCTTCATATCCAATTTTATAATTTTGGAAAGAAAACTATTGACAGTTACAGATTGATAAGATAATAGATTACGAATGCTTTTACATGTACATTACTTAGACATATAATTAAAAGGGTATGTATGATGTTCTTCAATAAGTAGGGACTTAAGATCCTTTCAACAACCACTGTGCATTGCATTTTAAATCATACCATACCATCTTGCAGGAATCATCGAAGAAAATTGAACTCTTATGTTAAAAAAAAGGCAATAATTCAATACTTCAAGCATGAATGTTACTATTACAAAAACGCAGATACACTTGAAATATACATTTTTCAAATTGAAGCATGTCATTGCATATATACATTTTATGTTATGAAACCAACAATGCGTGTTAAAATCTAAATGTACAGATTTAAGTTTGGCTTTCGAGTACAAAATTCTTTAAAATAACACTACATTTATGGAAATATTCTGCAATATTTGAGGAAGATAGCATTTTTGTTGATTATTTATATACAACAAAAACAGAGAACTCCCTGTAAATGTGTTTTCCTTCTGAATGCATCTCTGATGATTATGATAATGACATAATTTAATGTGATATTGTAATAAAGATTTGGAACCATATAACAAAGTTTCAAGTGATACTGTATAAAACATACCATGTGATGTAGTATTACATAATACAATGTAATACACTTGAACAAAGTTTCAAGTGATACTGTATAAAACATACCATGTGATGTAGTATTACATAATACAATGTAATACACTTGAACAAAGTTTCAAGTGATACTGTATTAAACATACCATGTGATGTAGTAATACATAATACAATGTAATACTCTTTAACAAAGTTTCATGTGATACTGTATAAAACATACCATGTGATGAAGTATTACATAATACAATGTAATACACTTTAACAAAGTTTCATGTGATACTGTATTAAACATACCATGTGATGTAGTATTACATAATACAATGTAATACACTTCAACAAAGTTTCATGTGATACTGTATTAAACATACCATGTGATGTAGTATTACATTGTAACTATTTAACAAAGTATCATATGATAAAGTATTACATTAGATAATGTTATATCACATGACAAAAGTATCATGTGACATAGTTTTACAAAATATAATACGATACCATGTATCAATGTATCATGTGATGTTACAGAGTATCATGTAATACAGTATTACACAGTATAATGTGATGTTACACAGTATCATGTAATACAGTATTACACAGTATAATGTGATATTACAATGGGGAAACTAATGAACATATGAAGGTGTGAACATTGTAAATCTTTTAACAATTTAAATGTCTAATAATCTAACAAAAACAATTGCAATCCAATAATCTACTTATTGTCAGGATTATCAACATCCTAACTGTAACCGTCCGGACAGTGTAACGTTGTCAGGATTATCAACATCCTAACTGTAACCGTCCGGACAGTGTAACGTTGTCAGGATTATCAACATCCTAACTGTAACCGTCCGGACAGTGTAACGTTGTCAGGATTATCAACATCCTAACTGTAACTGTCCGGACAGTGTAATGTTGTCAGGATTATCAACATCCTAATTGTAACAGTCCGGACAGTGTAACGTTGTCAGGATTATCAACATCCTAACTGTAACCATCCTGACAGTGTAACAAATAGGTTGAATTCTGTATGTCAGTGATTTAGTGATAAGCCTATTTAACACACAGGTAGACTATTAATTGATCTACTTGGGTATCAGAGGAGCACCAATAAATGTCTGTCTCCACTGATCAACGAGTTTCGTTAAAACCAATGTAGCAATGACGACGATGATGATGACGATGATTAGATAAGATTCCCTGCGCTATAATGAAGTCCATAATGGAGGTGTTTCACTCTGCTACTGCTGGATTTGTGTAACTGTTTTGGTTCACAAACCCATTCTCTCTGTCTATACCCTCAGCGTTGCTTTATTCAACATAAGGGACAAATAGTGTACCATTACCCTTCCAGAAACCTTTCATGTTGCTTCAAGTTCTGTTAGTGACATATTCTCTCTGTCATTTCACGCTAAAAAAAAAAAAAAAAAACTTAGAACAAATCTTTAAATAGATTCTTTCCAAAATATGTTACTAACCATTCACCTAATAATGAATCACACATACCATAAATTGTATATCAACGCCAAATTTTCTTATTTGTACTTGTATGTTTCTACCTTTATAATTTTATAAATTTCAGCAAAAATATGATAACTTGATAATTGTCACAAGCAAAAGTCTAAATAATAGCAAAACAATAATAATTCTGTGGTACTGTACCACCAAATATTATTGTTGAAATATGGAATGCATATCACATATAATCAAACATCGAAACAGAGTATTGTATCCTTCTAAAGATATAAGCACCAATGATTATTTTCAAAAGAAAACTTACTAGTGGTTCTAGCTCCTTTTTCTCTACCAATTCAAATTCCTTGATGAAGTAATAGAAGTGTTTGTAGCATGTGTTGACATGAGCCTCCTATAAAAACAGACAACCAATAAATATGCCAGTCAGTATCCATTGGAAAAGTAAGTTTTCTAATTCAATTCTTAAATTTGAAAAATAGACACATACCTGACATAAAAATACCTAAGAAAGGTATACATGGATAATATGTTGATACAATCAGCTAAGGTGTCAGTCCACTATAAGTGACATTTAATTTTGTTATAAGAAAAGCTGAAAACAGGTCTGGTAATCTTCATGTATCATAAATTGTTGATATATAGCCTTATATGGTTCCTCAACTATAGTGAAATTAAATCTTTTTAGACATATATCTCATTTACTTATCAAGGATATTCCAACCAAATCAGCATTAATCTGGTAAGGACAGAAAAAAGCAGCAGAATGCATTTAAACATATACAACTGTTTGCTGTACTGTGACCTGACCTTCCTTCTCAAATACGCCCCTTTGGTGATGTGTGAATGAGGTACCCAGACCTCAATAATTACAGAGAAATACTGATTGGTGTATTACAATGCTGGTAAATCCTTTTTTCCCGATAACTCAGATTCATTTTGTTTAAATTTACAATAAAGGGGAAATTTTTTCATAAAAAAAGGTCCATGACCCAAAGGTTAAAGGTCAAGTCCGTAGATGTCAATGATAGATTTGGGAAATAGCTTACCGCCTCCAGAGCCAGTAATTTATCAAAATGGTGGATATACACATGAACAAAGACCCGGAACAGGCGTGTCAGAATCTTCTTTACTGTGGGGATGAAATTCTTTGGAAATGGCACACCTGAAAAAGGTGGAGAATTGTGTCAATGTAATTCATAACAATGTAAAACATAACAATGGAAAACATAACAATGGAAAACAAAACAATGTAAAAAATAACAATGGAAAACAACAATGTAAAACATAACAATGTAAAACATAACAATGGAAAACATAACAATGTAAAACATAACAATGGAAAACATAACAATGTAAAACATAACAATGGAAAACATAACAATGGAAAACATAACAATGGAAAACAAGATATTTTTTAATTCACTTCCTGATTAAAAAAAAGATAATAGAACTCATAAAACTGTTTACGTGAAGATTCTAGAGTCAGTTTTATTTATTTTACCAGTGATAAGCACTGCATAATTCATTGACGATATATTATAGAACTCTGATGCCAGGCCTAAATAGTACAGGTATCTTGATTTAATCAACAGCAAAATGTCTTAGCAGTCATCTTTTGAACTAAAATGAAAAAAAAATGTAATCAGAGCTGAAAATCATGTACAAAATTCAAACAAAATCCTACAATTTTGCATACTGACATTCAGACTGGCTCTATCGAATATCACCATTGCTATAGTGACATCATAAATTTACATATGTGGGAGTATATCCCTGTATATAATTACCACATTTTTGAAGTTTATTAGCATAACAATATTTAAGAAGAATATACATCAGAAAATACAGTATGGTTCAATTTACTGCAAATTTTAGAAACTGTATGATATTCTGGAATACTATGATATTCTGGAAACCCTGTGATGTTCTAAAAACCCTGTGATATTCTGGAACCTTGTGATGTTCTAAAAACCCTGTGATATTCTGGAATACTATGATATTCTGGAACCTTGTGATGTTCTAAAAACCCTGTAATATTCTGGAAACCCTGTGATATCCTGGAAACCCTGTAATATTCTGGAAACCCTGTGATGTTCTAAAAACCCTGTGATATTCTAGAAACCCTGTGATGTTTTGGAAACCCTGTGATATTCTAAAAATCCTGTGATATTTTGTAAACCTTGTGATGTTCTAAAAACCCTGTGATGTTCTAAAAACCATGTGATTTTCTGGCCTGTGATGTTCTAAAAACCCTGTGATATTCTGGAAACCCTGTGATGTTTTGGAAACCCTGTGATATTTTAAAAATCGTGTGATATTTTGTAAACCCTGTGATATTCTAAAAATCTTGTGATATTTTGTAAACCCTGTGATATTCTGGAAACCCTGTGATGTTCTAAAAATCCTGTGATATTCTGGAAACTTGTGATGTTCTAAAAACCCTGTGATATTCTAGAAACCCTTTGATGTTTTGGAAACCCTGTGATATTCTAAAAATCCTGTGTTATTTTGTAAACCCCGTGATATTCTAAAAATCTTATGATATTTTGTAAACCCTGTGATATTCTGGAAACCCTGTGATGTTCTAAAAACCCTGTGATATTCTGGAAACTTGTGATGTTTTGGAAACCCTGTGATATTCTAAAAATCCTGTGTTATTTTGTAAACCCTGTGATATTCTGGAAACCCTGTGATGTTCTAAAAACCCTGTGATATTCTGGAAACTTGTGATATTCTGGAAACCCTGTAATATTCTGGAAACCCTGTGATGTTCTAAAAACCCTGTGATATTCTGGAAACTTGTGATGTTTTGGAAACCCTGTGATATTCTAAAAATCCTGTGTTATTTTGTAAACCCTGTGATATTCTGGAAACCCTGTGATGTTCTAAAAACCCTGTGATATTCTAGAAACCCTGTGATGTTTTGGAAACCCTGTGATATTCTAAAAATCCTGTGATGTTCTAAAAACCCTGTGATTTTCTGGCCTGTGATGTTCTAAAAACTCTGTGATATTCTGGAACCTTGTGATGTTCTAAAAACCCTGTGATATTCTGGAAACCCTGTGATATTCTGGAATAATATGATATTCTGGAACCCTGTGATGTTCTAAAAATCCTGTGATATTCTGGAAATCCTGTGATATTCTAAAAATCCTGTGATATTCTGGAAATCCTGTGATATTCTAAAAATCCTGTGATATTCTGGAAACCCTGTGATATTCTGGAAACCCTGTGATATTCTAAAAATCCTGTGATATTTTGTAAACCCTGTGATATTCTGGAACCCTGTGATATTCTGGAAACCCTGTGATATTCTGGAAATCCTGTGATATTCTAAAAATCCTGTGATATTCTAAAAATCCTGTGATATTCTGGAAACCCTGTGATATTCTGGAAACCCTGTGATATTCTGGAAACCCTGATATTCTGGAAACCCTGTGATATTTTGGAAACCCTGTGATATTTTGGAAACCCTGTGATATTCTAAAAATCCTGTGATATTTTGGAAACCCTGTGATATTCTGGAAATCCTGTGATATTCTAAAAATCCTGTGATATTCTAAAAATCCTGTGATATTCTGGAAACCCTGTGATATTCTGGAAACCCTGTGATATTCTGGAAACCCTGATATTCTGGAAACCCTGTGATATTTTGGAAACCCTGTGATATTCTTGAAATCCTGTGATATTCTAAAAATCCTGTGATATTTTGGAAACCCTGTGATATTCTGGAAATCCTGTGATATTCTAAAAATCCTGTGATATTTTGGAAACCCTGTGATATTCTAAAAATCCTGTGATATCTTGTAAATCCCTGTGATATTCTAAAAATCCTGTGATATTCTGGAAACCCTGTGATATTCTGGAACCCTGTGATATTCTGGAACCCTGTGATATTCTGGAACCCCTGTGATATTCCAGAAACCCTGTGATATTCTGGAACCCTGTGATATTCTGGAAACCCTGTGATGTTTTGGAAATCCTGTGATATTCTGGAACCCTGTGATATTCTGGAAACCCTGTGATGTTCTGGAAGCCCTGTGATATTCTGGAACCCTGTGATATTCTGGAAATGCTGTGATATTCTGGAAACCCTGTGATATTCTGGAAACCCTGATATTCTGGAAACCCTGTGATATTTTGGAAACCCTGTGATATTCTTGAAATCCTGTGATATTCTAAAAATCCTGTGATATTTTGGAAACCCTGTGATATTCTGGAAATCCTGTGATATTCTAAAAATCCTGTGATATTTTGGAAACCCTGTGATATTCTAAAAATCCTGTGATATCTTGTAAATCCCTGTGATATTCTAAAAATCCTGTGATATTCTGGAAACCCTGTGATATTCTGGAACCCTGTGATATTCTGGAACCCTGTGATATTCTGGAACCCCTGTGATATTCCAGAAACCCTGTGATATTCTGGAACCCTGTGATATTCTGGAAACCCTGTGATGTTTTGGAAATCCTGTGATATTCTGGAACCCTGTGATATTCTGGAAACCCTGTGATGTTCTGGAAGCCCTGTGATATTCTGGAACCCTGTGATATTCTGGAAATGCTGTGATATTCTGGAAACCCTGTGATATTCTGGAACCCTGTGCTATTCTGGAACCCCTGTGATATTCTGGAAATCCTGTGATATTCTGGAACCCCTGTGATATTCTGAAACCCTGTGATATTCTGGAAACCCTGTGATATTCTAGAAACCCTGTGATATTCTGGAACCCTGTGATATTCTAGAAACCCTGTGATATTCTGGAACCCTGTGATATTCTGGAAACCCTGTGATGTTCTGGAAACCCTGTGATATCCTGGAACCCTGTGATATTCTGGAACCCCTGTGATATTCTGGAATCCTGTGATACTCTGGAACCCCTGTGATGTTTCGGAAACCCTGTGATATTCTGGAAACCCTGTGATGTTCTGGAAGCCCTGTGATATTCTGGAACCCTGTGATATTCTGGAAATGCTGTGATATTCTGGAAATGCTGTGATATTCTGGAAACCCTGTGATATTCTGGAACCCTGTGATATTCTGGAACCCCTGTGATATTCTGGAAATCCTGTGATATTCTGGAACCCCTGTGGTATTCTGAAACCCTGTGATATTCTGGAAATCCTGTGATATTCTGGAAACCCTGTGATTTTCTGGCCTGTGATATTCTGGAACCCTGTGATATTCTGGAATCCCTGTGATATTCTGGAACCCTGTGATATTCTGGAAACCCTGTGATATTCTGGAACCCTGTGATACTCTGGAACCCCTGTGATGTTTTGGAAACCCTGTGATATTCTGGAAACCCTGTGATGTTCTGGAAGCCCTGTGATATTCTGGAACCCTGTGATATTCTGGAAATGCTGTGATATTCTGGAAACCCTGTGATATTCTGGAACCCTGTGATATTCTGGAACCCCTGTGATATTCTGGAAATCCTGTGATATTCTGGAACCCCTGTGGTATTCTGAAACCCTGTGATATTCTGGAAATCCTGTGATATTCTGGAAACCCTGTGATTTTCTGGCCTGTGATATTCTGGAACCCTGTGATATTCTGGAACCCCTGTGATATTCTAGAAACCATGTGATATTCTGGAACCCTGTGATATTCTGGAAACCCTGTGATATTCTGGAACCCTGTGATACTCTGGAACCCCTGTGATGTTTTGGAAACCCTGTGATGTTCTGGAAGCCCTGTGATATTCTGGAACCCTGTGATATTCTGGAAATGCTGTGATATTCTGGAAACCCTGTGATATTCTGGAACCCTGTGATATTCTGGAACCCCTGTGATATTCTGGAAATCCTGTGATATTCTGGAACCCCTGTGATATTCTGAAACCCTGTGATATTCTGGAAATCCTGTGATAATCTGGAACCCCTGTGATATTCTGGAAATCCTATGATATTCTGGCCTGTGATATTCTGGAACCCCTGTGATACCCCTGTGGTATTTGTACGTACCAACTTTCACGGGGAATATTTCTTCATTGTTGATCTGTTCCTCCACCCATTCCATGAGATTGGAGATGTACTTCGGCGCAGCCAGGGAGGTGGGCCTCTTATAATTTATACCATCACACCAATAATAGTCATACCTATAAAGAATATTAAATACAACCAAAGTGAGCGGGGATTCACAAAGCAATTCTCCTAATTACCCAACCATGATTTTGAAATGCTATACAATTTCCCTAACCTGACCCTGATTAAAATATACAATACCATTTCCTTAACCCAACATTGATTCCAAATTACTATATAATTCCCTACTGGCCCTGAATATGAAACGACATACAGTTCCCCTAACCTGGCCCTGAATATGAAACGACATACAGTTCCCCTAACCTGGCCCTGAATATGAAACGACATACAGTTCCCCTAACCTGGCCCTGAATATGAAACGACATACAGTTCCCCTAACCTGGCCCTGAATATGAAACGACATACAGTTCCCCTAACCTGGCCCTGAATATGAAACGACATACAGTTCCCCTAACCTGGCCCTGAATATGAAACGACATACAGTTCCCCTAACCTGGCCCTGAATATGAAACGACATACAGTTCCCCTAACCTGGCCCTGAATATGAAACGACATACAGTTCCCCTAACCTGGCCCTGATTATAAAATGGTATAAATAATTTCATGCCAATGGGTGTTAGGGGAAGGGATGTCTTGGATACACTACTAGAAATCTCTCCTTGGTTGATCAACAACGATAATGCCTCACACCTTGTCATTCCTCTATAGTACATGTACATAATCTTTTCAGACAATACAAAACCAAAATCTAAATTGAGATATCATTTTCATGTTGTCCATGAAACTTATCTGTCACTTTAAACTACACTTTAAACAAAATGTTTTTTGAACATTTGAAAAGATCATGAAATTTAAGGAATAAGGTTTGGGCAGATTTTAACATGGCGTGTATAAGCGTGACTAATGAGTTATCCATCATGCCAAGTTGTCTAGTGGATGTAATTATATATATAATTAACTAGAATATCATTAACAGCTGGATTAATTTACTGTGCCAAATTAAATACAAAGATCCATGATGTTGTGCAGCATGCTAGCTGTCATATTATTTCATCAGAATTAGACTGGTGTACATGATTAATTTATTATACAAAAAATCACAATCCAATTATGTTTCCTAGGGTGTTACATATGCTCATCATGTTAAACGTCCAAATGGTATTTATATTATAACTAGTTTGGAGCATGTAATTACAATAAAAGCTTTTCATAATCTGCAATGTTTAAAATTTTTTAATGGAAATTTTAGCATTTTCAAATGAGTAATTTTAGTGATCGATAGATAATTGGCATTAAATTTCTCTTGCATGGGACATAAAAATATGGTCAGTTAAGGAAGGCTTGGTTTGCAGAAGTGAAAAAAATTCTATTCTGTATATATTACCGTTACATCAATATAAATTTATCCATGTTTTATGTATAAATTTACATCTACAATATGACTGACTATAAACAGAAATTTCATACAGTAAAAGTCTGTCAATACATTGCTAATGGTTGTTCTCTCTGGAAGTGTTAAGATCTGATGTATTTGATGAACTGTTTTGTTGATCAGTATATCAAAATGATCTTTCAACATGTATAAGTAGCCTTATGCTTGTATCTCTTAGTCACTTCTGTATAAACATTTGATAGGGTTTAATCTTGTCAGGTGATCATTGAACATCACATTCACTATGCCCTTTCTGACCAGAGTAGGTATAACATACAAATCCAACCCATGACACTTCTGCACCTGAGGCACAAAGTATACATCACATGTGCTGGCTTCAATGCTCACTGGTTGAAACTTGAGTCTTGATTGCACAAGGCCAGTTTGCTTAATTAATTTTCAATATAAATCAATTTTAATTCCGTACAGTTGGAGAAGGATCAGTTTGTGGAGATTTCCCGGTAACTTCTTAATCAATATGCCAGTGAAAACTGCATATATATCCCCGAAATATCAGTTTTTTGAAATGACAAAGAATGTCAAAGGATGACCATTTATCTAATTATAAAAGAACCCATATCAAACTGTTTCAAAGGATATCAACCTTTCTTCAACACATGTATACTACAGAAAACAAGAGTATAAGTGAAACTGATCTCCATGGAAACAATCTAATTGGACACAACATTTCAACAAAGCACCATAATTCTGTTATGAAAGGGTTGCAGGTCCTGAATTTGGTTTACTGCATTCTCTTGAAATGACCAATGTATATATCGATTTTCATGATCAAATTTTAATGCAAGGACATACTTTGACTCTCTGAAATGACATCTTTTGTTCCCTGACATGACATACTTTTGCCCCCTGACATGACATATATAGGTCCCCTGACAAATACTTTAGCCCCTAATATTGTATGTTTTAACCACCTGACATGACATACTTTGATCCTCTGACATGATATACTTAGATCCCCTGAATTGACAAACTTTGGTCCCCTGATATGACAAATTAGGCCTCCCAACATGACTTACTTTGGTCCCCCTGACATTGTAGGACAGGTCTGTTCTGTGCAGTATTCACACAATGTGCCATATAACATGTTGATTCTGTTGAAGAAGTCTACCACTGCAAAAAGAAATCAATTATACAGTAAACAATAAACAGAATCCATTTAATAATGATCAGTACACATCACATGACACTACATTTGTCTAGTTGTTACATTTCTCCAAAAGATAACTTCTATAATATTGAAGTATCTAAAGTGTTAAAATAAAGGAACAGAACAACATAACAACCTGTAATTAACTTAACAGTTCATACTGCATTTGAAAAGAATTGAAAAGTGTGAAATGTGAAGTATGGTAGAGGAACACCAAAGGAGTGTATAGATTTGGTCCTGATCAAGAGATCCCAAAGGAATCCTGGCACCCACCATCGTTTGATCTTTATATGCTCTTTGAAAGTTGGATCTTTTCCCCTCTTTTCTCTTCTCTTCTTTGCTCTTAATGATAAGACATTTGAACATTCCTTTGCAGAAATAGCAATGATAATCTTAACCTGCCAAATCCAAAATGGCCACCTGGAAGCCATTTTGTTTCTTTTGATCAGTCTCAAAATCGAACAATCACAAGGAGAGACCAAAGGGAACATGCATATGAAATTTGAGAGATACTCGTTCAATACCTTTTAAGAAATTTGAGAGATATTCATTCAATACTTTTTAAGAAATAGCAATAACAATCTTTACTAGGCAAAATCCAAGATGGCAACCTGTTGGCCATTTTGTTTTTCTGGTCAGTCCCAAACTCAAACAGGCACAACTAAGGACCTAAAGGAACCTATACAAGAAATCTGAGAAAGATCTATAGATTAGTTCTCAAGAAATAGTGATGATAAAACTTTCAAAGTCAAAATCTAAGACGTCCATCAGTCAGCCATTTTGTTTTTCTGATCACTTCAAAAATCAAATTGGCACAACTTTGGTCCAATAGGAACCTATATATGAAATTGAAGAAAGATTAATCCAGTTCTTCTCATGAAATAGCGATAATCCAAGATAGCCACCTTTCCGCCATTTAGTTTTCTGATCAGACCCAAAATCACATGGGCACAACTAGGAATTAAAGGGAACCTACATATGAAATTTAAGAAAAATCCATCTCTTACTTTTCAAGAAATAAATAGCCATAACAAACTTCCTTGAAAAAGTCCAAGAAGGCTGCCTGTCAGCCATTTTGGTTTTTTTGATCAGTCATAAATTCAAAAATGGGCACAATTAGGGACCAACGAGAAAGATCCATCCAATAATTCTCAAGAGATAGTGATACCAAAAATTGTTTACAGACAGATGGATGGACGACTGACCATGGACGCAGAATGATTTGAATAGCAAATAAAAGAGTTAACATGAAATTAATAACATGTCTTATTTGGTTTGGTCAGACCATCTGATGTGTTTTCCAAAATTTTTTTTATCTTGCCAGTATCTAAGTGTTGAATTCAGACCAGGTCCTGATGGCCAAATTCTTCTAAAATAGATCACTAATTCAATACTTGTAGGTTTAATTGTCTCTCATGCCAAGCAAACACTATTACAAATATATAGGTGTCATTTTGAACCTTTCAAAGGTATGATACATAACCTTAGTCCCCAGTGGCCAAACCTAGCAGTATAGGTGTATCAACTTCATGTGTATCAATCAACTGCACATTTCAAATTACATCTAGAGGATAAGGAAGGGTATAGCAACCACTTCCGTACTGTGGTACAGGGACCATAAGCACTTCTAGCATGGGGTTAAACATAGCATGGTCGTGTTTATTTCTTCATGGCCACCAATATCATAAAATGTATACTTCATTTAATACAAATGGCAAATTAAATTATACTACTTTATCATGATTATGTTCACCTTTTTATACCCTGCAATTTAATAAATTTTTCTTGAATGTTGTGTTCAAGGTAACAAAAATTTGTTAGAGATGTTGGATATCACTGTGTTAATGTTACAAGTATGACTGATTGCTGCTCATATACATACAATTTACTCTGTATTTGTTTAACGATGCTTCCTTTATTTGAAGTGAATAATTTATACAGTGTACAGACAAAGTTAGCTTAACTCATTGAAAAGTTGCACATGAACGATGACCTAATGTAATTATTTTACATCATTTCTCACTATTTTGACATAAATCTGTCTACTTTTTCATATATGCCACGATAAATTTTTTAAAAATTTTAACAGTATACTTTGGAGGAAATTGTGGTTTCAGATATTAAGTCAGAGGCTTGGATTTCTACAACTTGTCTGCCTTTTCATATGACATTAATTAGGTTTATTTTTACAGCACTTATGATATGTCAAACAAATTGTGGTTTTTTTTTTAAATTTATAAAGGATATCTATGTTTTCCTCGGGAATACTATATATATTTCTCAAATATTTGGCAGATAACCAATATTTTTATACAGGTAGCTTGAGTAAATCTCCCCCAGTTCAGCATAACCATTACATTCTCTATTGTACTTTAAGATATATTATAATTAGCAAAAGGAAAATGCAGTTGATGAAACACAACTAAAGGGAGGTAATTCAATTGCATTCAATGTTAAGCGGAAACCTAAAGCAAACATTTTATTTCAAAGTTCAAAGTTAATCTTCAAGTATAATACAACTAGAATATAAATCCTTCCCCACTTAACTTTCTCAATACAGCTGAACTTCATGATCTCGAATTTGTTTAACTCAAAAGACCCTGTTGAATTTTGAAGTAATTCATCAGACAAACGTGATAAACTCCAATACTGGTGCTTGGAAAAATCTAAATTTTCACAAAGTTCCGCCGAATACAACATAATGAAATTCAGGAAACAAATGTATTTTTAAAAAGATTATTTCTTATTTATCTCAAATTCCATTGCATTAGATATGAGATTTATAAAACTTGATAGGTGCTCTCTGAAAAGAAAATTTCATCTACTTTTTTATCCACAAATCTCATTATGAAATATTAATTAAAGCAAGAGCTTTCTAAAGACAGCCACTTATTGTTCAAAGTGACTATTAATTCAATGATTGTGACAGAATCATCTTATTCACTCCTCATGTACAGATAAACTACATTGTATAACAGCAATATGTACAAGGCATCTTATATATTTGACCCTATAGGCTTAGAATTTCAACTGATTGCAGGGAGTCTTTTCACTCTAAATCATCAATATGTAATGAAAAAGTTTACCATGAACAGCTATCCAGTCACAGCGATCCTCTCCAGGTGGTAGTTTTACCACCTCCTGAAGGTCAATACCAGAATTCAGAGATGCATTAGCCTGCTTGTGCAGTCGAAATTTGAGTGTCCCCTCCTCAAATATGCCGCGTTTTCTGGGACGAAATGTCTGAAATAGATCAGAAACAGACTGAAAATATTAGTAAAATATCAAAACAATTTCTCAAAATATCAGGAAGCAAGCTGAAATAACCAGAGAACAATGCAGACATTTATTTTCTGTATAGCAAGCTAAAATTATACAGAGCTGCAAATGTATAATACCTAAGGCCACAACCTGTAAAATGTATCAGTGCAATAAACTTCCAAAATACATTCAAATATATATGAATTCTATCCTAGATGCGTGTTATTTTATGAGAATAAGTCATTGGGTATTAAGTAACGAAAGGTCAAATCTTCCATCGTTAGATAAAAAGCATTGTGAAAAAAATCCTTATCTCTAGGCAGAAAAGTAAATTTGTCCTCATAATATTTTTTCATATATGTCCCTTGTGTAATACACCCTGGAGCATTTTTCATTGGCTGCACCATTCAGAAATTGATTATGATGTCATAATATGGATAATAATGTTACATAATTAATTTTGTCCTTCACATTTTTACAATAATATCTGTCAAAATAATAAAAAGTACCGTACCTTAAATTTGTCTTCATTTCATATGAGCTTTTTAAAAACTTTTTTAAAAGTTTAAATTTTTGTTCACATTCATCAACAAAAAAAACAAAAAAAAAAACAAAAAAAAATCAGAAACACTCTTTTCTTTAGCAATTTAAAACATTTCATTCCAAAGTAAAGTAATTGTAAAACTAGATGTGTTAGAATGCCCATCAGTAACCAAGGAGAAGTTTGGACCTTTTTAGAGAAAAAGAATCATATTGGAGTCCTGCAAGCAGAATCTATAGTCAAAAATTCTAAAATCAAATTCAAGATTTGCCTCCAAATTTCTTTTCTCAATTCCTGATGGTCTTGCTGGGCTTTTTCAAAATACATTTATTTTTTTATAAACTTTTTTAAAGATGGCCATGACTCTGGAAAAAAATATTGACCTTCACCAAATGTCAACTTGATTTGCTTATTATTACTAGTACACTGTATTACTATTATACTATTAGTATTACACTGGTAAAATACTAGCTGCAATATACAGCTCAGCAGAACTTCTCCTTAGCATGATCAATTGAGCATCAGACTACTAGTAAGCAAGGAGCCAATGGTTCCAATACTAGCGGAGTTATTGAAAGAAAACAATCACATCTGTTACAATTATACAACTACATACCAAATTACATTTCTATGGCTGTATCTGTATAAGAGTAAAGAATGAAAACAAAATTATTCTGAATGACAGACAAGAGTAACTTTCTATATCTCCGATCATAATATTGCAGGAGTATATTCATTTTTTTGATAATCAAAATATTTTACATAACTAAAAGTTTGGCTGAGTGATGGTAATATGACAAAGTTCTAATTTACACAGTAAACACTTGAGTTGTTCAGGAAGTAGCCAGCTTAAATGCAGACAGGATTTGTATGAGGACTTCCTGCTTTTGGTATTATCAATTTTTGTACATACTAGTGTGGTAAACATTAAACAGTGTCCATACAGACATACCAGGTACAGGCATACTGTCACTGAAACAGGAAATTTAGTATCAACAGATTAAATTATAGACCTGACAGCTGTATAGGACAAGCTAGTCCTGTTACAAGTTTTTCCCTTTACAATGTAAAATGGCTACTCTGTCTTATTGATATGTTTTTCTGAATTAAAATACCTGATAAAAAATGATAATACAAGGACAACCCCACATTTTGTGTTGCTATTATTGACTGTAATCAAAATTTCTACCTATTACATACAATTGAAACTTTTTCTGAAGGTTTTATGCTATAAGTTGTGTCTTGATACAACTTCTGTTTAGAAGACGTCAACAATTTTTAAATATGACAGAGTAGTCATCTTAAATGAGACATAGGTCCTAATTATAATCTGATCTGTGGACCATCCATACATTTACTTGGCTCTCAGAAAAGTAAGCAATTTACCTAAATGATGGTGTATAGATACTCAACTGGAGATCAACCTGTACTTCATGATTTCGATCAAGCACAGGGTAGATTGATGGCAGGTTATAAACCAACTTATGGCTCCAGGATAGGCCTACTAAACCACAGGCTAAGTGCTAGATTTATCTCTATGAGTAATAGAATGTATTGATACCATGTGACAAATTCCATAACAAAGATCAAGGACCAGAGCTTAAGATGAATATATGGGGCACTCATAACATGTCCAAAACTGCTGTACATTTTCTTAAGGGTATATATAAGCTTATACTCCTCGAGTATTTGGGCAGTTGTTAAATGCTAGTACACTGATATATAAATATATTACATTTTCTTTATAGTTCACACCATGTACACCTTGGATTTAATTAATATTATGGTAGATTTATTCAAATGGTGAAAGATAAAAAGACTCTATTAGATTCTTACCCTATTTTCACTCTCTTGGTAACAGAGTGAAAATCAAATTTCGGGAAGAGCTATTTATCAATTCTCAAAAATTTACATTTTTTTTTTCTGGCTAGCCCAGATCACAATTTCCAAAATTTTGGTTAATCCAAATAAAAAAATATAGTTGGTTCTCAAAATCTGATCGAGTCCTACATGAAAAAATACCAGGACTTGAATATCTATGTCCAAAAAAACACGATACTATACAACACCTCTACTACACTGCTGTTAACTGGAAAATTTGCTTTTATTGTTATTGTTAAATTTTTTAATTAAAGTGTAAATATTTGAATTGTATAAAATATACATTTTCGGGAAGAAAATTTATTTCCATGAAATCTCCCTTTGTTTTGAAATCAAATACATGTTGAATGCAAATTTTTTAACCAATGTACTAGGAATGATTTTTTTTCAAATAAAATTTGGTGTAAATTAGCACCAATTTCCAATTAGAATGATGCCAAACTGAAATGGCACATCACAATCTTTGCATTTTAACTTATTTCTTACACATTTATCTATACACTAGCTGTAAAATCATGATTTAATGCGTAATTATTCATGATTATAATTCTGAATTCCCAGGAAAAGAATAACAATTTTTATTTTGTTCTGTTTACTTTGTTGTAATAGCATAACATACAAGGTCAACAAAGAAATCACTTCATCATTACATACATATATATTACTTATTAGATATGTACTAGTATCTACATATAAATTAATTAGATAAAACTATATAGCAATATCTATAAATAACTATATATGTTTTGATATCTATATATAAATATAGATATCTATACATCTACTTAAAAATACTTAATGATACGTATGCTAGTATCTATATGTCTATAAATAAATCAATATCTGTATATAAATTCATCAGATATTTACCAAAAACTATATATGTATTATTAATGATAATGTTGAGAAATTCTAGGTGTCTTTTCACTACAGCCTTTTTGAGGAAGTGGCAGTACAATGATGATTAGGTGATTCGGTGCCATATGTTCAGAGTTTGTGACCCAAATATATCAAGAGTTTGTGACCTGAATATATAGGGCAGGAATAAAAAAATCACATCCCTTTGTCAGTTGTGTTAAAATGTCAAAATATTAAAGAATTAACACAATGAATCATTTACAGTAAGGTATGTTGATCTAACAGTTTCAAATTTGAATTACTGCTGTCCTAATTGTAACCAAATATTTATCAATATCAAAAGATAACACATTTATAACAGATGAAAATAATCTAAACATGTACATTGTTTATCAACCTGAATAAAACTTGGATCATGTATGTATACAAGACTGCAGGTATCTGGGTCAAGCTGAATACCAGTTTATATCATCATATACTTATATATAGTATGAAAACTAATGCTTATTTATTTACTGAGGTCACCTGAAATGATCTAACTCAATATTACATGTGTATCATACATAGCTACAGGGCATACAACATTCAAGTACCTTGATGGGGATATACAGAATGAAAGTTCTCAGCATTAGAAAACTTCCTCATTGCCATGTCACACCAAAATTATATGAAGTAAAATTTTACAATAAATAGTGCTGCATGTACCTGGTACATATTTGTAATAACCACTACTACAGATAATATATGTATTAGCATGGAAACAGAATATTTTAAAATGACTAGATCAAGTTATTATCATATCAAAATGTCCTTTTGTTAAAGTGCGTGTTACCACCTGAGACTGCATATGCTTACTCAAAAAGACATATCCATTTTTTTTTCAGAAAAGATAATTAACTATGTAATGTCATTTAATGATTAAATATGGTATCATGAACATCTATTAAAGAATTTAAGACAGATTTCTGAACTTTCTTTAACATTAGCAATGTGAACTGAGTTGACCATTCATAATCTCCAGTTTGTTTATTCTGAAGGTGTCAAATGTCCATGTTAAAAGGATATTCCGCCCAAGATAATATTTCATAAGATGGCTTTTGAGAAAACTGTACAAAAGCATCTACTTATATTCATATGGAAATTGTACAACTCGAATTCCCAAAAAAATCAACTTTTGCTATTCATTTGAGGAAAATTCCATGTAGGTCTAGCTAGATCTGATTACAAATGTTCACGCTGCCCTGATGACGTCACAACAGATTTCTGCCTGCATAATACACTGTAAACAAACAAAAATGGCGACTCCCATGGAGACACGATTTGGGCAAGAGAAAATGGTTTCTACATCAAAGGAAAATAGGAGAAACTAGAAATGGGCCAGACAAAGCTCACACATCACAATTGGTAAACAGTACAAGAGGTGGCAAAAGAACTACCAGTACAAAACAAAAGATGCAGCGCAAATGTTCGACAACTGATATATTTGTTTTTGCATCATTGCTTTCAAAAGGATCATATGATAAACAAACTATATATACAAATTCTAATCTTTAACTGGTTTGGGGGTCTTTCCACCAATTTCGCCTGTCTCAGGTGACCACAATAAGGATATTTTAACGCATACAAAAATTTGAATAGTCATAAGAGATACATTACAAACAATTGAAGCAACAAAATACATTTGCAACTTGAGCAGAATCTCCTTTTAAATAAATGTACTTGTGTGATTAAAAGCAATGGTACACAACAAATTTGTTTTTGACACCTACACTTTTTCCTGGTTGAAAATGGGATTTTCTTTAAGCAGTCAAAATGGAAAAGTTAAGCAAAAACTTGGGAATACAAATTTCTGAATTGGATAACAATTGCCTGCAGATGGTGACATAGTGGTAGTTTTGTTAATGTGTATATTGTCCCAAAGACTTTGATCATCATTTTACAACTGTCTGCATTTGGCATGATAATACAATTTATAGACTGATACACAAATGATCCATATGAACTGCAGAATGAGATTTTATCCATTAATTTTGTAACTATTAATTACTTAATGAAGATTAATCAGTATAATATCAAAATAATTGCAACTAATCACCAAGAGTCTTAATTATTCAAACATTTGATGATATTGTTCTATTGTTATTGAGCCTGAGTTTCTCCGAATATTTGACATTTTGATTATCAGAGGAATGTTGTTGACCAGACACGTCCATCAAAGTGTCTAATACCTAGTGAGGGATACTTGAGGAAACTCTTTGTTACAATTGTTTATTACTAGTATTATTACAAACAATCATCATGATTGACATATATGATTCCTGGGTAACTGTGTTATTTACTTCCTAAAATGACACCCTCTTAAGATGAAGACAATTCATATTGAGTGTAGAAAACAGTGTGATGGGTTACTGTCATAAGAAGGAAATAGATTGAGGGGAAATTCTCTAAGAAGGAGAAGAGACAGTCATGACAGTAAAAAGAGAAGACTAAGAGGGAAGCGATGTAAGATATTGCAGTTTCACATATAAAAATACATGCCATCAGTAGCCATATTGTATGATGCAAACTTTCTCACTGAATCAGTGTGTAACGAACTTCAATGTGTATTGTTTTGACCGACTTGTTGAAATGAAAACAATACCTCAATCCTTCAAACAAAGTGTGTAAAAAGTGATTACAATTGAAATTTAGCGTACAAGATGTAAATGAATTGCTTGAAATGTGTCATATTTTCTTAAAGGTAGGATAAATAATTAATGAATAGTAATGTTTAAAAAGAAAACCTACTTTTTGTTTACTACCGAAAAAGTTTGCGAATGCCATCCTCGCAGCCATTACCGCTGTAGTCTTCGCGCATGCGTTAAATAGGTGCGTTCGATTGTAAAACAATTTGATGCTTTCGATTAGTTCCCCTTTTTGCTGACCGGAAGATTACTTATTATTAATGCAAAAAGGATATTCAGAGTTGTGTGAAAACATTATATCATATGAGATATGCTATATGAAATGTGAGATATACATTAAGATATCACATAAAGAATCCGATGAGATACGATTAAAGTATAACCTATATTTTATATGTTCAAATTTTGAGGATTTCCAGATAACATGTGGATTGTGTAAACAGTAACTTATATAAAAAAATCTTTATCACAAAATGACTGTTTTATTTGCGAAATAAGGTTCCCAACTTAGCGTTATTCATGTCTCATGTGAAATGCTAATTAATTTACTATCAATATATTTTAGCGGTAATCAAAGACCAAGACAAAAATAAAATCGCGGACAGATAATAACCATTACGGGACAAAATGCACAGCAGCAAAATAAATTTCCGACAGATAAAATGTCCTACTTCAATACTGTTTCGCCATGTTTTACATCTGTTTTGAGATCAATACAAATACGTATATCTTAGGTTAAGGTCACGATGCTGTTTAAATGATACATGTAAGCGTGTTCTTGTTAATACAATTAAAGTCCAATTGTTCTCTCATTTTCCATAGTTATTACACAGGCCTGTGCATTATTTCATAAGGTCTCTATTTAAGCATTACAATTCTAGTGTCAGACCCAAAGTAATTAGAATTAATAAAATCCGTCAAATTGATTAAAAGAAATGATCTACGGAGACATGGAAATGCTAATGTCTAAGTTACGATATTTATATATGCAAGTTTTCTACACATTCAAAAGTGTTTGAGTCCAAAGTACAACTCCAGGAAGAGATATCCTGACGGGGTTAAAACTCAATAAAAAGTTTATTATCGTACAGATTAAGAGATACAAAAACACTATTTTTACAACCTGTCGTCTTATTTATTGCCATGTCCGGATTAGCAATGCCGTGACAACATTCCAACAGCTGTAAACGAAAAGCGCACTGAAGAACCCAACAACAGCCTATCTATACTTACCTATATCCTGTGACATCTCTTTGGAAGAATTATCCACATCACCTGTCAAAATCGGTTATTTTTCTTTTTGTAAATCAGTTTTTTCTTCTTTTTATGCTGCATCAGTCATACAATCACTACCACGGTATACAGGAATAGGTCGCATACACATCACACACATATTGCTGGTTTTCTGATCAGGAAAGTCGTACACAGGTATACACAACAGTTGTAGTTCACAAGTAGCTATATTGTTATAGTTAAGTGTGTGTTATAAATTATGAGAAAATAAATGGAAAATACTATAAATAATTCCAGACGGATAAAGAAGGAATCTAACACCTTCCTATTTTATCGAGTTTTTCTAGCATTAGAAATCATGGCTTGTGATAGGCACTAAAATCAGACAACAGGGAAATTAATGTTTGTTTGTCGTGTTTATCGCCTCTTGAACAACCAAAGTTACATTGAGAATGAATCTCCTTATGGTAGTCGTTGGTTTCCTCTCTAAATCTCATAAGAGAGGTTAATCGTATGTCATTTTCAGCAAAAGTGGTATAAAGTGCTTTGACCAAAGGAAACCACCATGACAGCACAGACCGGTACGTTACCCAGTTTCCTAAAGCCCTTTTCATACTTTAAGACCATGAAAACCGCGCTGCGTCCTTTACAAGAGCCAGGTGGGCCAAAATGTTTTAAGAAACGTCAGCTTCATCTGTAACATGTATATCGAGGTCAAATGATGAAATGTCGTGATTGCAAGATGAAAATCTAGGACATAAAGACAAAAGCACACAATCACAATACATATCTCACGAGATAAATTAGTTTCGCAGGCATAACATAATGTACCGAGAGAGAGAGAGAGAGAGAGAGAGAGGTGGGGGATGGAGTGAAGAAGATGCTTGCACAACCTACGTTGGGCTTTATATAAACCTTTGATACGATTTAAATGAGTGAAAGAAAAGTGATATTGTTTCAATTTCAAATAAAACAAATTTAATACCGTACATATTTCGGTTGTCATCTTAGAACTAAAGACATCATGTCTGTATAGGAGATAGTTTTACATGCAGCTTTAATGTCTGGTGCCACTTTATATGTCTGATATAAATATATTTATAATAGCACACCATTAACATACTCATAAACTCATCCATCTAATTACTACATGTATCATAAACAAATGTGCAGTAAACTTGTAACGGGACAATTATTCAACACCGATTAACATAACAACAGATTACCTGTTGTTACTAAAAGCTGCACTTTGTACCGTTATAAAAGACTGGGAAAACAGTTCCCAGCCAACCCTAATTCTTAAACGTTTCTAAGCACTTTCGTTTATGCTATCATATGGCATGTTATAACATATCTGATCATAAATTTCTGTTGAAATGCAATATTCACTTGTACTTTTTCTGGAGTCTCCGTCAGTAAATCTTTCATTTGTTCATATTTTGCTCTAGTTTTATCAAATTTGGGTCTGGATTATAATTTTGTCGGTATGTTGGTTGTTTGTTGTTTCCGTACAATCCTTTAGACATGTTCATACTATTTCAGTCCTCAGTCTTACAAGACTAATCACATTGGCTTGTAAATGAAGGTTATATATCTCACCTTACCTCTTTGTAATTTGTACATTGCATATGTTCTGGTACCCCGTCGAGATCATTTTATACACAAATCAAGCCCCTCGCCCAAAAATGTAAAATAGATCTTAAACAATAACAGATACATATTGTATTTCATCTCCTATATTTTATACTGTACATCCAACAGCCACGTTTAAACATATCCTGGTTTGGCACATATCTTTCATTTATCCTCAAATAAGAAAACATCCTTTGTTTAACATTTTTTTTGTATTATAAATTGTAACCGACTGGGTGGTTATGATTTTAATATTCTATAACTTTGTAGCTTTATAGGTACAACACTGTATTACAAACATATTAATGTGAACTATTACCCAGCAGGTGCCTCTCATTGACACTGAATGATCAATCGAGGCTATCAAAAATTAAGCAGTCACAATTTCTCAAATTGTTTTGTGGTTAAATCACTTGGATAAATAATCCTGTCTTACGTAAAAGTTATTTTCTAAGAGTTCTGTTCTTCGCTATTTTCAAGGACGGGAAATAATCACTAAAATAAATACCTTGAAAATAAATTGATTAGAGCAAACCGCACTTTTTCCCATGAAAATTCGAAATTTGTTATGAAAAAAAACTGCAACAATGTGTGAAACATTAGGATACCCATTTGGGCAACATCAGGAGACGTGGAAAGTTTTTTTGCACTTCTGTTGAGTTGAGAAGAAGTTGTTTTCGCAAGTTCATTCGGACGGACGGACGGACGGAAATATTCCCTGATGATCCTCCAACTTTATTATAGGGATATGAAAACAGAAGCAGATAAATATATTATATTATATCAAGCCCAATGTATTTTTGCTCCTTTTCAACCTAACTTTACATGTGACTTTGCATACATGAATAACTGATCTGTTATTCATGTATGCAAAGTCGTTTTATATTTTTTCTCCTGGCACTTGTTACAAAGTGACTGTCATAGCGTTAGGATTTGTAACATTAACTTTAAGAAGGCACATTTCGTCAGATGTAAATGGTGTAAAGGATTTAAATTGCCATAAAATGACACTACTGGTGTCCAATGATGGTTTCACGGCTGGAAAATATTGTACTTGCATCATAATTTTTTCAGGAGTTTGTATTGGTATTTGAAAACCTACTAACATGGAAATGTTCTAGCATTAATGTGTCACTGAAAACTCAAATTTGATGAAACCGGGACAGAAAAGAACAAAAATGGGGATTTGCAGGCGATCCCTAGAAAAGTACAAGGGAAAGAGGCAAAGTGTTCCTGAATTTTAAGCGTCTCCTGCTTGATCGACGACGCCCGCCGTTTCACCTTGGAATATACCAATGACGCGTTGTATTTCGAACTACTGATAATGTCGATCGTATATACTCACCTGATCCTAAAATCAAAAGTGAAATAGACTTTTCTCTCAGTAGCTTACATCTTCCCTTACTTATCATTAATGTCTCTACCTTTAGTCTGAGGCTGTATTTTATTTTTGTTCTCCGGTCAGTGTATTCTCTTATATGCTGTGTATCTCATTGTTATCAAACTTCCGGAAGTTCCAATTTGTCTACATAGTTTTATTATTATGCTTGCCGGTAAAGTGAGTTGGGGATGCAAGTTGTTGCAAAATCAAAAAGGTTGAAATAACTTATGGATGAGACAATCTGTATTGTAGCTTCTTTAATGATGTATATATACAATGTAACTGGATGGTTACTATCAATGTATATCTATAACTAGTACAGATGTAGTGATTTGACAATCCTGCAACATTAGTAAAACGAAAATTAATGACATTTTTAGTGCCACAGATTTACCAATTACTTTCCGCGAAATAGGGTGATATTTCAGTTGTGAATAGCTCAAACACACGTTTTGTTTTAAAAGAATCTAAGTAAACAGAAAATATTTGTTACAAAAGCTAGCGAGATCAGTTTGAAAATTGAGAATTCTACTGTACTGTTTGTTTTGAAATGATTTATTAGGAGAGTTTTTTTAGACAATGGTATATAAAGACAGCAACGCTAATTAACAATAATTGATACAGTATTTCAATTCAAAATATTTCATAATACAATCATTGTACAGGAAATATCAATGTATACGTTATAATTAGCACGTTTATAGACAATCATGATAAATCAGGTATAAAAACAATTGCAGAAAAGGGAGGCACTGTGGTAACGCACTCGCTTTTCCCCTCGCCGTCCGGGGTTCGACTCCTGGAACGGAAGTGAAAAGTAAAGGTCGCCTGCCTGACCACGTGGGTTTTCCCCGGGTACTCCGGTTTCCTCCCACAATAAGACCCCTCACACGCTTACATCCGGGCCAACAAGAGTGATTAGTATAAGTTGAAATAAATACATGTAAAATAAATAAAGTTTACAGTAGTTATAAAAGAATTGCAAAAAAAAAAAAAAAAAATCACGGTTTTGTTGCTCGAAAATAAAAAATGTGGATTAACCAACAACCAAGTAAATGGATTACATAAAGGAATTGACTTATTGACTGCTAAGATGCTGATGTAAGTCTATATCTATATTTGTAAGTCGTGAATCTTATAGAGAAATAAAATGTACGAGGTCAATGAATTCGAGATTTGTTTTGTACTATGTATTTGTATTGGACAGAAGCATTGCCACATTAGAGAAAAAAAATCTTTTTTAAAATGCTGTGGTTAATGAATTTCTAATCGTTGTTCTTTTTCGTAGTGTAATGGTTTACTTTTAGATAGAGTTAACGGTAGATGTTGTAGATTCCTTCCGACCCGAGTCCTTGATGAAGAGTTTTCAGTTGTTAATCTTCAAATCTTAATTGCGATAGTAATAATAATTGTTATTAAAATCACTCATCCATTACTGACCCCGTGCTACCTGAGCGCTCACGTGTCATATAATAAAATGTGATGCTTTTATTCATAAGATATTGTTCACCTGAGTTTATGCTATCATGGATTTAAATTGAAAATGAGGATATGACGTACTAGCAGATCCCTATAAGGATACCTATATATGCCGTAAATAAATAGATATAGTTTCAAATGAACAAAAAAGCGTATAAATTAGATATAGTTTCAAATGAACAAAAAAGCTTCAAAGTCTCATTATATTCCAGCTTTTTCGTGAAAATATTACTACGTAATTTGTTTTTTTTAAACGCAAATACCTCTCGACAGGTTGGTTTTATTAGTTGCATTGAATTTTAAGTGAAACTGTGAACCATGTATGCAAATTAGTGTATACCCATACAGACAGCTTTATGGAACATACATATAAAATATAAAAAAGGGGGGATGGTGGGAGTGTCCTGGTCTCGGTTAAAAACAGAACAAGGACGTTAAGCTTCAAAGAAGGAAGTGGATGGTCGGTGTGTCTTTGCACCACTGCTGTAGAGGTCTCCGAGTAGAACGGTACCTGCGAAGGCACACATCCATGACTAGCCCATTCTATATGGGGGCTCTCGTGGCTACTAGACGAGAACATATCCTGTGGAAATAGCTGCATATGGCATAAAAATCGGCCGACCAAATACCGAGATGTTGACATGTCAAGTACACGACTTTCACCTGTCCTTCCAACACTAATAAGCATAAGGGTCACTTGTGCTGCATAGGACCCTACCGACTGTGACGTCACAAGTTCAACGACTAGTAGCAGCATCCATGGAGGGAATTGGCGAGGTCGAGAACAGCTATGATATGCAACGTTAGATTACAGATGAATGTTTTCTAGTTTTGAAAAATTAGATAATTCTGACGATAACATTATGCAAACGGTAAAATTTGCCATATCCAATATCTTATATCTAATGTAAACCTCAGAACAAGAGATGAGGCACCAGTTGTATGCATTTGATATATGGAAACAATTTTTATCAAGGAAATATACATACATTGTATATCTACAATAACTATTGCTAATAAATCAAAATCCGTTTCTAGACTTAGTGAAGGACTACACGTGTCTGAATATGTTGGAATTAAGATCTATGGGATGATGCTTTCCGAACAAAAATGTCTCCAAACTAAACGTAACATTCAAAGTAGTGAAATTTTAGATAAAGATATTCCTTTTACTGGCACAAAGTAGTGAAAATCGTTTTCATAAGAATTACCACCAGTACACGAAGATTTATTTAAATTTACTAGTGAATTTAATTAAAACCAAACAGACGACTCAAGGAAAGCTAGCAGTATTGTATACAAGGACACTGAAGCCTAGCTGTATTGTATACAAGGACGCTGAAGCCTAGCTGTATTGTATACAAGGACACTGAAGCCTAGCTGTATTGCATACAAGGACACTGAAACCTAGCTGTATTGCATACAAGGACTCTGAAACCTAGCTGTATTGCATACAAGGACACTGAAGCCTAGTTGTATTGCATACAAGGACACTGAAGCCTAGCTGTATTGTATACAAGGACGCTGAAGCCTAGCTGTATTGTATACAATGACGCTGAAGCCTAGCTGTATTGTATACAAGGACGCTGAAGCCTAGCTGAAGCCTAGCTGTATTGTATACAAGGACACTGAAGCCTAGCTGTATTGTACTCAAGGACACTGAAGCCTAGCTGTATTGTACACAAGGACACTGAAGCCTAGCTGTATTGTATACAAGGACACTGAAGCCTAGCTGTATTGTATACAAGGACGCTGAAGCCTAGCTGTATTGTATACAATGACGCTGAAGCCTAGCTGTATTGTATACAAGGACACTGAAGCCTAGCTGTATTGTATACAAGGACACTGAAGCCTAGCTGTATTGTACTCAAGGACACTGAAGCCTAGCTGTATTGTACACAAGGACACTGAAGCCTAGCTGTATTGTATACAAGGACACTGAAGCCTAGCTGTATTCCAAGTTGTATACCGTGGTGCCACGTCGGTCCAAAATACAGAAATGTATTTTCAAAATGTCTTCAACGTTGGTGTCTACCGTTTATGATTAATGATACAGATGTATTACATGATATTTATATATGGTAATGACAAATTAACATAATTCTGTATTCATTGTGTTAGGTCGACGAATACAACACCTGATTCATAGTACTTCTCATGAGACGCTAAATTAAATCACGAACACAGATTAAATATTTCCTTAATTAGTTTCACGAAAATATAAATGAATCACGAGGTTCGATTTTGTCCTCTCTATATACATATATCTATACAAGTTCTGATTCAGCCTCTTGGTTTTATCAAAGCTTATCGGTACACTTCCTTAGTCTACTTAAGTGAAATGTGTATAGGTAAATAATTCTAAACACACTTGTATCACGTGCTCGTGGCAAGAGGCCCAATATACACCGGTATATCTGTGTCAAGCTTTGAGATCAAGGGGATGTCAGCAGGTGGGTAAGGGGTAAACCTGAACTTGAAGTCAGTTAGTGGATTAGTGAAGGTTATGCTTCTTTCGATTTTCCACTTTACAGTAATGAGGAAATGTATAAAGATCGATTTTAAGAAAAGTATCAATGAATAAAATACGTAAGTCTGATCACATGTTTCATTGACACAAAACTTATCTTTGTGAGACGTGAACGGACAGTTGTCCCTCTGCATAATTCCTAAAGTTGGTTAGTACATTTAACACGCATTAACTTCCTGAAATCGCTGGATTGGACAAAGAATCAAAATAACAAAATTATCTCCTCCAAATACCTCTTTTACCAATACTGGATACTTTTCCACGCAGTTTCCGGTTTTATAACCGCAGATTAAAATACACAAGCTGCTGCTCATTATGAATATAGCACTGGTGTATTTGTTCCAATAGTGTATCTACATCTATATTTGTATACTTTCGTTACTCGATGAATCTGTAATAGGTTGTGGGGTTGTGTTGTATAGTGACTACATTCACGAATTATGGAAATATAGATAAATTTAGATAGTATCATCATGTGTGTTCAGACACCCTCATACCGCATATCATTTGTCAACTCCAAAGGAAAAGCATTAGTAAAACCAGAGACATATATATATATATATATATACGTCTCTGGTGAAACTGTAAAAAAGTCATTTTATATGTATGTAGCACTTAAGATATAACCAACAGAGGTAAGTTTCAACAGAATACATCACATACGTAGCTTAAAAGTTCGCATGTCGAACACACGTCGGAAGATCTTCGACAGCGCTGAACTTGTGACGTCACAGAGGTGGGTTTTCCATATCGAGGCGATCACCGTAAAGTCAAATGTGTTAATTTCAGATAAATCACAACATCTCGGAAACGGAGCTAACCATGGCGCACGCACTTTCTCGAGCTTTTATTGTATAGAATGAAGGATTTTATAGCTAACAATAGCAAAACACTTTATTGGGCACACTTTAAAGTTTCACTATGTTTCACTGTGCCGGTGCTTCGCATGACATGTTTAAATAGATATGAATAGTGCATTGTATAGAACTAAAATTAACGCCTTGAGAATTTATATACATTACTACAAATTTACCAAATTATGGGATTAGTACACCTCCTAATATTTTGACATTATTTATTCCAAGTTTGATTTCCCTAAATCGTCTTTCCACCATTTAGCTCCTTTCAGAACTAACAAGTCCTAAAACGAATCATTTTATTCAACTTGTGCCGTATAGTTTATGTAATATAAAATGGTATTACATGGTGACATGGTATCTTCTATTAAATCTTTTGTACACGTGACTAGTTAGCCCTCGTCATTCTGTTCAATATCAATTTATTTCCGTAAGTTATACAGCTTATTGGACAAGTAACAGTTAAAAGGACAAAGACACTCACACTCGGCTAACCATCATACACACTATGTAATCATTCATGATGTTAGTATATCATTTTTGGTGGAAATCACGAAAATACTAGTTAAATTGTGACTATATATCTTTCCTACGTTTATTTGATTAAGTTCTTTTATATTTCGACTTTAAGTAACTGGATGAATTTAAACATACTAGGCTTATTAAATAAATTAAGAAAATTTTAATACGAATATCTGCATAACACTTACATTAAATAATAAGATAATATTGGACTTCTATATCGTTATCATTACATACAATACACTTTCTTTCTTCCCTCGGTACGTCCCTGTATCGCCCATGTTCAATAGCTACATCATGTGCAGATAAACGGATCTTAGAAATAAGTTTGTGAAAACTAACATTAACTGGCTTATTTAGGTATGACTGGAGTTTACTACTTTCAACCAGATGTTGGTATCAACATAATTTAGATGAAGAATCAGTGTAAATCGTTTTTGTTGGTATATGTTGAAATATCTACTTATGTTTAACGAATTTAGTTTTAGTAACTGATAATACTGATCTAGTGTTGCATTCTGCCTCTAATAAGTCACTTTAGAGATAATAACGAATTTAGTAACTGATAATACAGATCTAGTGTTGCATTCTGCCTCTAATAAGTCACTTTAGAGATAATAACGAATTTAGTTTTAGTGACTGATAATACTGATCTAGTATTACATTCTGCCTCTAATAAGTCACTTTAGAGATAATAACGAATTTAGTTTTAGTAACTGATAATACTGATCTAGTGTTGCATTCTGCCTCTAATAAGTCACTTTAGAGATAATAACGAATTTAGTAACTGATAATACTGATCTAGTATTACATTCTGCCTCTAATAAGTCACTTTAGTGATAATAACGAATTTAGTTTTAGTAACTGATAATACTGATCTAGTGTTGCATTCTGCCTCTAATAAGTCACTTTAGAGATAATAACGAATTTAGTAACTGATAATACTGATCTAGTGTTGCATTCTGCCTCTAATAAGTCACTTTAGAGATAATAACGAATTTAGTTTTAGTAGCAGATAATACTGATCTAGTATTACATTCTGCCTCTAATAAGTCACTTTAGAGATAATAACGAATTTAGTTTTAGTAACTGATAATACTGATCTAGTGTTGCATTCTGCCTCTAATAAGTCACTTTAGAGATAATAACGAATTTAGTTTTAGTGACTGATAATACTGATCTAGTGTTACATTCTGCCTCTAATAAGTCACTTTAGTGATAATAACGAATTTAGTTTTAGTAACTGATAATACTGATCTAGTACTGATAATACAGATCTAGTGTTACATTCTGCCTCTAATAAGTCACTTTAGAGATAATAACGAATTTAGTAACTGATAATACTGATCTAGTGTTACATTCTGCCTCTAATAAGTCACTTTAGAGATAATAACGAATTTAGTTTTAGTAACTGATAATACTGATCTAGTGTTGCATTCTGCCTCTAATAAGTCACTTTAGAGATAATAACGAATTTAGTTTTAGTGACTGATAATACTGATCTTGTATTGCATTCTGCCTCTAATAAGTCACTTTAGTGATAATAACGAATTTAGTTTTAGTAATTGATAATACTGATCTAGTGTTACATTCTGCCTCTAATAAGTCACTTTAGAGATAATAACGAATTTAGTAACTGATAATACTGATCTAGTGTTGCATTCTGCCTCTAATAAGTCACTTTAGAGATAATAACGAATTTAGTTTTAGTGACTGATAATACTGATCTAGTATTACATTCTGCCTCTAATAAGTCACTTTAGAGATAATAACGAATTTAGTAACTGATAATACAGATCTAGTGTTGCATTCTGCCTCTAATAAGTCACTTTAGAGATAATAACGAATTTAGTAACTGATAATACTGATCTAGTGTTACATTCTGCCTCTAATAAGTCACTTTAGAGATAATAACGAATTTAGTTTTAGTAACTGATAATACTGATCTAGTATTACATTCTGCCTCTAAGTCACTTTAGAGATAATAACGAATTTAGTAACTGATAATACTGATCTAGTGTTGCATTCTGCCTCTAATAAGTCACTTTAGAGATAATAACGAATTTAGTAACTGATAATACTGATCTAGTGTTGCATTCTGCCTCTAATAAGTCACTTTAGAGATAATAACGAATTTAGTTTTAGTAACTGATAATACTGATCTAGTGTTACATTCTGCCTCTAATAAGTCACTTTAGAGATAATAACGAATTTAGTTTTAGTAACTGATAATACTGATCTAGTGTTACATTCTGCCTCTAATAAGTCACTTTAGAGATAATAACGAATTTAGTAACTGATAATACTGATCTAGTGTTACATTCTGCCTCTAATAAGTCACTTTAGTGATAATAACGAACTTTAGATAATTTTAGTAACTGATAATACTGATCTAGTGTTACATTCTGCCTCTAATAAGTCACTTTAGAGATAATAACGAATTTAGTTTTAGTAACTGATAATACTGATCTAGTGTTACATTCTGCCTCCAATAAGTCACTTTAGAGATAATAACGAATTTAGTTTTAGTAACTGATAATACTGATCTAGTGTTACATTCTGCCTCTAATAAGTCACTTTAGAGATAATAACGAATTTAGTAACTGATAATACTGATCTAGTGTTACATTCTGCCTCTAATAAGTCACTTTAGAGATAATAACGAATTTAGTAACTGATAATACTGATCTAGTGTTGCATTCTGCCTCTAATAAGTCACTTTAGAGATAATAACGAATTTAGTTTTAGTAACTGATAATACTGATCTAGTGTTACATTCTGCCTCTAATAAGTCACTTTAGAGATAATAACGAATTTAGTAATTGATAATACTGATCTAGTGTTGCATTCTGCCTCTAATAAGTCACTTTAGAGATAATAACGAATTTAGTTTTAGTAACTGATAATACTGATCTAGTGTTGCATTCTGCCTCTAATAAGTCACTTTAGAGATAATAACGAATTTAGTTTTAGTAACTGATAATACTGATCTAGTGTTGCATTCTGCCTCTAATAAGTCACTTTAGAGATAATAACGAATTTAGTTTTAGTAACTGATAATACTGATCTAGTGTTACATTCTGCCTCTAATAAGTCACTTAAGTGGTAATAACGAATTTAGTTTTAGTAACTGATAATACTGATCTAGTATTACATTCTGCCTCTAATAAGTCACTTTAGAGATAATAACGAATTTAGTTTTAGTGACTGATAATACTGATCTAGTGTTACATTCTGCCTCTAATAAGTCACTTTAGAGATAATAACGAGTTTAGTAACTGATAATACTGATCTAGTATTACATTCTGCCTCTAATAAGTCACTTTAGAGATAATAACGAATTTAGTTTTAGTAACTGATAATACTGATCTAGTGTTACATTATGCCTCTAATAAGTCACTTTAGAGATAATAACGAATTTAGCATTCTGCCTCTAATAAGTCACTTTAGAGATAATAACGAATTTAGTTTTAGTAACTGATAATACTGATCTAGTATTACATTCTGCCTCTAATAAGTCACTTTAGAGATAATAACGAATTTAGTAATTGATAATACTGATCTTGTATTGCATTCTGCCTCTAATAAGTCACTTAAGTGGTAATAACGAATTTAGTTTTAGTAACTGATAATACTGATCTAGTGTTGCATTCTGCCTCTAATAAGTCACTTTAGAGATAATAACGAATTTAGTAACTGATAATACTGATCTAGTGTTGCATTCTGCCTCTAATAAGTCACTTTAGAGATAATAACGAATTTAGTTTTAGTGACTGATAATACTGATCTAGTATTACATTCTGCCTCTAATAAGTCACTTTAGAGATAATAACGAATTTAGTTTTAGTGACTGATAATACTGATCTAGTATTACATTCTGCCTCTAATAAGTCACTTTAGAGATAATAACGAATTTAGTTTTAGTGACTGATAATACTGATCTAGTATTACATTCTGCCTCTAATAAGTCACTTTAGAGATTAACGAATTTAGTTTTAGTGACTGATAATACATTCTGCCTCTAATAAGTCACTTTAGTGATAATAACGAATTTAGTAACTGATAATACTGATCTAGTGTTGCATTCTGCCTCTAATAAGTCACTTTAGAGATAATAACGAATTTAGTAATTGATAATACTGATCTAGTGTTACATTCTGATAAGTCACTTTAGTGATAATAACGAATTTAGTAACTGATAATACTGATCTAGTGTTACATTCTGCCTCTAATAAGTCACTTTAGAGATAATAACGAATTTAGTAATTGATAATACTGATCTAGTGTTACATTCTGCCTCTAATAAGTCACTTTAGTGATAATAACGAATTTAGTAACTGATAATACTGATCTAGTG